TCGCCCGAATGTGCCCACATCCACCGCCTGTGTGTGTGTGTGTGTGTGTTGGCCCCTTCTTTCGTTTTCGCCCGGCTGTGCATGTACAGCTCGTGTCTCGAACCAGCTGCCAGGCGGCCGCATCAGACACTTCGCTTCTCGGTCTTCCCTCTCTCTCTCTCTCATCTCCCCGTCCTCCTCTTCCGTTTCGGCCCGTTCTAGCATTGTGGAGTCCTTTTCCCATCAGTTGGGAAACTGGCAGTTTCCATCATCGTGCCTCCATGCTACACATACATACATACATACCTACATACATACATACATACATACATACATACACACATACACACATACATACATACATAATACATGCATACATACATACATACATATATACATAAATACCTACAGGCAGACAAACATACATATAGACAGACAGACAGACAGGCAGAGACAGACAGACAGGCAGACAGACAGACAGACAGACAGACAGACAGACAGACAGACCTACAGACGCACATACAGAGGCAGACAGAGACAGAGACAGAGACAGAGACAGACAGACAGACAGACCGACAGACAGACAGAGACTGACAGACAGACAGACAGACAGACAGAAAGCGACAGACAAACAGACAGACAGACAGACAGACAGACCGACAGACAGAGAGATAGACAGACATACATACGTACATGCAGGCATGCATGCATACATACACATATAGTAGATATACACACACCTGGGTCCAGGACCGGGGGGGGGCTTAGGGGCAGACTCTGGCTCTCCATGCCAGTGGCAGGGCACCTGGGCCCCTCCAAGACGCGCCAGGAGGGGACCAAAAACCACCGCGATGGCCCATGAGGGATCCGAATCGTTGAAGAGCCGCTCGAAAACGTCCAAGATGGCCCCGAGACGTGCCAAGAGACTGCCCACGACGCACGGAAAGGCCTCCACGAGCACTCCCAAGAGGCGCCCAGCACGCCAAACTTGCCTGGTTACCTTTGGAGAACAGCCGTATACGGCTGTTCTGCCTTCACGGTGTGAAGATGGCCCATGGAGTTCCCAAAATTGCCCCAAAACAGCCCAAGAAGCCCCCAAGCGCGCCCCAAGACAACCCAGGAGAGCTCCAAGACAGCCCAAGAGTCGCCCAGGAGAGCCCAAGAGAGCCCAAGAGAGCCCCAAGAGAGCCCCAAAGAGCCCAAAGACGGCTTCCAAAATTGCCCAAGAGCGGGAGCCCGAACCAACAAGTCTATTTTCCACCCCAAGATGCTCCGAGGAGCCCCCCAAAGGCTCCAAGAAGCCACCAAGAGCCCCCTCAGAGGCCCCAAGAAGCTTCAAATCAGCGCCCAAGAGGCTTCAAAACCTGTATGGGTTTCGCCCCCTGCCGCCGGCCCCTTCTCTATCATAATAGGATATATCAGAGTCGTGTCGGTGCGTCTCGGCGCTGGCTTGGCGAATCTGAGAATATCATGCCGGGGCGGGTAGAAATCATCAGCGTATATTGAGACGTTGGCACTATCCGAGTGGCCTTCGGCCTATCCCGCCACCGTGCCTGGGTTGTGGGCCTGCGGCCTATTGTTTCTGTGTTGGGGTGTCGTGGGGAGCCTTCTGGAGGCGGTTTGGGCGCCTCTTGGAGGCCTTCGGGGCCTCGTGTGGTATCTTTTGGGCCTAGGCATCTTGAGCACGTCTTGGGCGTGTCTTGTGGCCTCTTGGGGCCTCTTGGCGGCCTCTTGGGGCCTCCCGGGGTTTCTCGGGGTACAATTATAAAACTGTCGGTTCATGGTCCCCTGCTTGGGCCCCTTTTGGGACCGTCTTGGGGCTCTCGTGGGCCGTCTTGAGCGCTTCTTGGGCCATCTTCGGGCCCTCTTGGGCCGTCTTCGGGCCCTCTTAGAGGCATCTTGGGTTGTCTTAGGGACGGTCTTGGGAGCTTCTTGAGCCGTCTTGGAGCGTCGGATAGCCAAAAATGCGAGAAGGCCCAAATCCTTCAAGCACCTTCGTAAAATCTGCCATTTTGGATACTTGGGGCTCTCTCGGGAGGCCTCTTGGAGCGCTCTTGGGGCCTCTTAGGGCCCTCTAAGGCAGTCTTGGAACCATCTTCGGGCGCCTTGGAGCACTCTTGGCCTCGGCAATGCGAATATTTATTAATTTGCGAGGGTTTTTGGACTCGAGGACGCGAGCATTGCGCAATGTTAAAGGACTTGTTGCCTCGGGGACACACGCATAGTGTAATGTATTAGGGTTTGTAGCATCGGGGACGCGAGCATCGCGTAATTTGTACAGATTATGGCCTCGGGGCGCGAATCTCATATATTTTTACATGTCCTGCACCCCCACGGAAATTCAGGCAACGCGATCATGGCGTGGTGGATTCGATCTGTTTGAGTCCCCCCCCCTCACGTGGATTTCAGCAGTTCACAGTCGGAAGCAGAAAGCAGGACTGTAACAGTGGAGACTTGAAACTGCAACTGATGCAGGGAGCAGCAGCCTGGTGGCCCCACAATGGGGGCCGGCGTCTTGCCTCCAAAGCGCCCCCGAGAGCCCTTACACGACATCCGAGCGAACCCACAAAGACTTATGACCCGCAACCCAGGCACGCTGGCGACTGGGCCGAGGATTCTCGAAAAGACACACTAGGAGGAGAAGATGAGGGAGTGGAGGATGCGGCGAAATCCAGAGTAGACGGAGAAGGAGCGTCAGGAGGAGGGCAACCTCCAGAGGGCGTGTCGAATGGGAGCTGCACCCCTCCTCTGGTCGGTGTGTGACTTCATTCGTCCCTCCTCCTTCCATCCTGACTCCTACCGATCCTGCCTCCTTCCCTTCATATCCTCTTCCTATCTATCTGCCGACCTATCATGCTTCCTGGTCCTCCATCCTCCCGTCTCCTCCGTCATGCCTTCTGACTACCCTTCATTCCTCCGCTTTCCTTCCACACTGCTTTCCTTCTCAATCTGCACTCTCTCGCCTACCTGGACGAGGGTTGAGAAAGCAACAGCAGGCAGGGGAAGGTGAGAAGACGCAGGACGGGAGACGACAGCCACAACAAGAGAAGTAGGGTAAGCAGGGCAGTTGGAGAGTGAGGAATCAAACATGATCCAGTATGAATTTCCCAACGCCTGGAGCTATCTAGATACAGAGCGCGCGCGGAACCCTCGCGCATGTGTCGAGCATATATTTTTATATATATATATATATGTATATCTGTAGATGTAAGATATATGGACAATATACAGATATATGTATACTTCTACACAGATTCACCGCCTGCCGAGGTACCCGAAGATCGATCCCCAGGCGGCGGTTAAGGATACATTCCCGCCTGCGGCCTCCTCGAAGCCTGCCCAGAGGCTTCCTCACAGCGTGTCCTCCCGGAGCTGACCACGGGCCCGCCCCGAGGTTCCGCTGAGAACTTGCGATGCACCCTGCGCGCGGCTCCCCGCCTGGGCTCCCTCACGACACGCCTCGAGGACCGACGGGGCACCCTGCGCGTGGCTCCCGCCTCGGGGCGGCCGATCCCGCGGCGAGGCGCGAGCTCACGATGTTCCCACACCCGCGCCCTAAGCACCTCTTGGTTGCATGACCTCTTGCCTGCCGCCCACCCTGCCTTCCTCGAGGGCGGCGGCTCCCGCAGCTCCCGCGGCGGCTGCCGCACCTCGGGGCGCACGACCTCCCGCCTGCCTGCCTCGGGGTGGCCGACCCCGCGGCGAGGTGCGAGCTCACGGGTCGCTCCACGCCCGCGCGCCGTGCGCACCCTGGGGGTGCATGATGTTTTGCAGGCCTCGAGGGCCGCGGGCGTCCCGTTCGACATCCCCCTCCCCGCGCTGCACCCCGCGCGCGGCCCTCGCGCGAGGTGTTCCGGGTGCCTCCTCGCAGCGTGTGCAGGGAGAGGGGCCCTCGGATCGGGCGACGCCCGGGCCGATGCGCAAGGAAGCGGGCCCCCTATCGTCATCCCGATGCTCCTCTGCTTCGTTCCCGTCCTTCTTCTGCATCTCTCTTGAATTCACATCCGCCTCCACCTTCCCTGAAGGACACGCTCTGCCAGGGCTCGAGCTGTAAACGGTTTCTTTGCGATTTCGTGGACCGTTTTCTTTTTGATTTCGTTTCGCAAGAAAGGCAAAACGAAGACAGAACGAAGGACAACGACCACAACACGAAAACGGAAGACACTGCTCAGCTCGAGCTCCGCGCTCTGCGCTGGTTATGGACAAGTCTTTTCCGTGGCAGGGGAGTGTTCACAAGCCCTCCAATAGAGCTTGCTCAGCATGCGAGGGTTGCCATTCGACGTGCCTATGGCCAGGTCGTCCTTGGGGGTCTTTACGGGGCCTTTGACGCCCTCGGCTGCTTGTGTGGGGTCCCCGAGAGGTTCCAAAGGAGCACGTGGAGCGCTAGGAGGACGCCTGTGGTGGGCAGGGGCGCATCCTCGGGCTGCCCAAGTCGCATCCTCCTCATCCTCGTCGTTTTCCTCCTCGTCGTCCTGCTCCGCGTCCTCGTTCTGCTCCCCCTGCCAGAGCCAGGGCCTCAAGTGCCTCCCTGGCGCGGCGGGGGGGCAAGCGTAAGCATGTTTCGTTGGTGGAGGGGGGGTGGGCGAGTGCACATCGGTGAAGACAGTTCTCCGACGGCGTCGTCCTCGTCGTCGTCGCTTTCGTCGTTGATGTGGTGCGTGTTGCTCTGCTCGGGAGTTGCTTTTAAGGAGGGGCAAAAAGACACAGATACAAACATCTGTCGATTTCTAGGACAAGATGGGAACATATGGGAAGCGGGGGGAAGACAAAAACCGAGAAAAGATTTGGAAATATGGGGAATCCTGTTGTTTGTGTGTATTTATGTGTGTGTCCCAGGGCCCCTTCAGTTTTGTTTCCCTCGTGCAAAGTGGCCACCGCCCCCCCCCGATTGGGATCGGGACCGCTGGTTAGCGATGGCCTGCCATGCCAGCGTCCACTAGTTGAGTTGCCTATTGCACCAGAGTGGCCCTTCGGGCACGGAGAGGATAGGGGGAGGATGCGGAGGAGTGGTGGCATCGGAGGCAACACCAGAAGACGTCGTTGGCGACCACCTGCGGGTCTTCATGGAGGGCGAGGGGAGGACCTGCAGTGGTAGCATCGCGTTCAAGGTCGAAGAGGTACCTCATCACCCTTTTCAGCGTCCCCCCCCCTGAGCCCTGCCAGCATTGGTATCTCGCCTTCTTGATGTCAGGCTCCACATGCCCTTCGGCTCCTCCTGTCTTCTCCTTCTTCATAATTGTTCATTTCCCCAACTCATCCTCATCTCCCTCATGCGCCATTCAATGTCGCATCCTCAGTCGCCAGTCGCTTTCACATCCTGCTGATCTCCCTGCAGCTGTTCCCCTTGTTGCTCCTCCCTCTCGTCATGTTCCTGCATGACCTGTTTCACTTGGCTGCCTGCTCGGTGGAACGTGCGGGGGCTGTGCAGGAGATCGGCTCCCCAGCGCCCGCTCACTGGGACCTCGCCTGCCCTCGCGTGGCAAGAACGGTGTCCATTCGCCCCCTGGTGGATCCTTTTCCCCCTCTGTTGTCTCCCAACTTCCCTTCCTCCACTCCTCCATCATCCTTCCTTGCAGATCGTTCCCCCTTCGCCGTACAATCAAACTTGTCGGTAGGACGGGCCAGCCGTTTCGCGCGAGACTGTTTCAGGGCTCATGGTCCCTAGCAGGTTGCAATCCGAAACGGCCACACGGATGGACAGCATGTGGTATTCAAATAGTTTCCGTTTTCGCACGGGACGCACCATTCTGTTCAGTTTGTGCAGCGATTTTGATGGAGGGTGGTTTGTGTTTATAACATGTAGTTGTTGCTTTCGCACCGCATGTTGCAAGCGGCTACTCGATTGGATGTTGGGTATCTGTTGGATTTGTTTTGTTCCCCAAAAGCAATCACACAGCGGTTGGGCGGGTCTTTCTCCACATTGGTTTCCTGAATGGCACCTCCAATGTGGTTGCCAGCGTGGACACCAAGCAGTGAGCTGCAAATTGTGTGGTGCAGTGTGTGTATTGTGCAACGTGTGTTTGTGTGGCAATGGACATCTATGTTCAGATGGTTCAGTTCGTGCGAGTTCTGTTATGTATGTGGTGCAGTGTTTGTGGTGGCATCCACGCGGTTCATTCCATGAGCCGCGGGACTTGTTGTGCGAGCTAGGTGGGGGAAGATGTTGGGTGCAGGCTGCTTGATGGCGATCTATGGGGTGGAGCTCACTATGTGGAGTTCGATGTCGTCAACCGTACTGCTCGTGCAAACATCCCACCCTCCCACCCACATCTCGCTGGCGAGCAACTCGCTTGCGAAGCTCATCTGGCCATGATCTTAACGAGCTCACGGCCGCGTTGAGCTCATCCGCGCAGACAAAACCACCTTGCACATCGACAGATGGTTTTGGCGATGGTCAAGGCCGGGTCGCAAACGACGAGAGCGATCGCAGTGGTGATGTCGTTGATCCGATGGCGATGACAGTCGAGATGGCGTTGACGCGGTGTCATCGACGACGATGTTGATAGTGATGAATTTGATAACGATGGGAAAGACGGCGGCAACGATGGCGCTTTCCATGCTGACGACGATGGTGCTGGTGATGCTGTGGGAGAAGTGCCCGCGAACAGAAGTTCAACAAGGGCGACGGCATCGTCGATGACGGCGACGACGGCGACAGTGATGACGACGATGGTGATGGTGTTGATGATGACGGCGGTAATGACGACGCTGGCGAGGACGACGACGGTTGCGCTGATGAGGATGATGAGAACGGGCGCGCGCAGAAGTTCAAGACATTAGCCAGACGTTGTTGCTGCCATATTAACGTGTTGTTTGTTGTTGTTGTTGTGTCAGATTACTGCGAACATGACGTTGTTGTTTGTGTCATATCACAGATGTCTCGGTCTTGACATGCTCCGATCACCAATGCAGTTCGACGGGTTTCGACACTCGCGCGTGGCGGCGCGCGCGTGGGGACACGGATTTGCGCGCTGGGCGCATGCTCAGCCAACGCGGATGCACCGCGTGGTGAGATGAGAATGCGGGCTCTGGAGCAGGTTGCGAAAGCCACATGGATTTGTTATGATTTGGGCAAGTGCGCGCGGGCAGAACATTTGCCAGAAGTTCGATGAACACGCATGGGTATGAATGTTTTTATGCTGACATGCTTGCGGCACCCATGTGTCTGGTACGATTTTGACATGTGCGCGCGTGCGTGGGCTTTTTTGTGTGTTGCAAGGGGTTCTTGTGGCGTGGTCCTTCGGGAAGGGATAACGGGGGAAGGAGAGGGATGGAGCACGAGAGAGCTTAGCAGGAGGGAGGCTAAGAGCAGGAAAGCAAGCGGCAGAACCAGATGGACGGGTCTGGCGGGCGTACCCTAACGGGCGGGTCGAGACGGCTGGGTTGACCAGTGGGCCGTTGAAGCGTCAGTCTTTCTAGAATCGGGAGGAAGCATCGAGCGACAGCGCGATCGAGCGATCGCGCGATCCCACAGCGAGAGCGTTATTCCTCTGTGTCGATGGCGTGGCGTTTCAATAATCGCGAGGACGTCCCAAGCAAGCGCGATCCCTGGATACGTTGTGAGAACGTTCGGCGCGAGAGCGCGATTTCGAGGGCGAATTGCGAGGAAGTGTCAGGGGGGAGTCGTTGTTTCGGTCAGCTGGGGGGCCAGCAACGCAGTCTGTGGCTCAAGACTTTCCCTTCAGGGTGCGAACCCTGGGGGCTCAACAATATGATTGTAAGAGGCGCACCGGAACCACTTGTCCCTTCAATGGAAAAACAGTATTATGTTTTCATATGTAGCAGTTTTATCATAATGTATTGCGTACGGTTCCCTTCAATGGAAAAAAGTATCAACACATCTTGAATACATACCGTACTTTTCCCTTCAACGGAAACATTGTTACCGGAGCGGGGATCTACAATAGTTCTTATTTTTCCAGTGCGAAGAGAACTATTAGTCCGCGCCGCGGAGTCACATGTCAGCCACGCCACTGGGGAAGGTACAAGACCCTTTGCCCCCTCATTCTGAAAAGGAGAGGTAAGGAAGGAGAAAGAGAAAGTGAGATGGAGATGGAAAGTAACAAAGAGAGAGAGAGAACCAACAAGAGATAGTGGTGGAGAGAGAGAGAGAGAATAATATATAAAGAGAGGGAGAGAGAGAGAGAGAGACATTAATATAGAGGAGGCGAGAGTTTGAAAGAGAGAGAGAGAGACTCATCTGCTGGAGCAACAACGAGGTAAGGCGCGTGAGCCAGCTTTTGAGCGCAACTCTTGGGAAGGGGAAGCTGAGGGGGCAGGAGGCGGAGGAGCGGGAGGAGGGGTGAGGATAATTTAAAAGTCCATATGCCGTCACTACGTCCTTCCGGTTGGGGGAGGAGGAGGAGGAGGAGGCGGAGGAGAGGCCGGGGGATTGTGGAGCCCCTCGTCGTTTTGATACGGTTTTTTATCTAGTGAAATGCTCTTTCACCCTTAGGTTTTGATTGTTTTTGTTGCCGATGTTCTTTTCGCCGTGATCTCCTCATACTAATATTTTCTCGTTGTATCGTTCTCTATGTTTTTTGTTCTCGGTCTCTCTTTCTCTCTCTCTCTCTCTATTTGTCTCTCTCTCTCTGCCTATCTCGTGCACCCAATGCATGCCGATGCGATACAAATCCATTCCCAACCAACACCAATGTCAATGCAATGCCAATGGGGGAATCCTTTCGTTCGGTGGATTTCAATACGAATACTTTGTGGACGATGTCAGTACGAATCCTTCTTCGGAGGCTTTCAATAGCAATGCTTATGTGTAGGGTTTCGATCGAGATCCTCATGTGGAGGGTTTCATTAGGAATCCTTCATCTGGGAGGATTCAATCGGAATCTTTCTTGTGGAGGGTTTCAGTAGGAGTCCGTCTGCGGAGGGAGCCATTAGGATTCGCCAGCGCAAGGCCAACGCAATGCCAAAGCTTTGCCATCGCAATGCCAAGCCAATGCCAAGGCGATCCCAATTCAATGCCAATGCAATGCCAATGGGGGGTATCCTTTGTGGTAGATTCCAAAAGGAATCCTACCTGTGGAGGGTTTCGATTGGAATCCTTCCGTGGGGGGTTCCAGTATGAATATTTTATGTGGGGGGCTTTCAAAAGGATGCCGTCTTGTGGAAGGTAAGGAATCCTTCTGCGGTGGAAGCCATTCGAACTCGTCAGCGCAATGCCAACGCAGTACCAACGCAATGCCAAACCAATGCCAATGCAATGCCAATGGGGGGAATTGTTTGGAGTAGATTTCAATAGCAATCCTTCTAAGAACCCTTCTTCGGGGGATTTAAATAGGAAGCCTTCTCTGGAGGGCTTCGCATGGAACCCTTTTGTTGAGGATTTCACTTTGGATCCTTCTTGTGGGGGGGGGTCCATAGGCATCCCTTTTTATGGGGTATGTTTAATAGGAATCCTTTTGTGAAGTGTTTGAGTAGGACTCGCCAGCGCAATGACAACGCAATGCCAACGCACTGCTAACGCACTGCCATCGCACTGCCAACGCACTGCCAATGCGATGCCAAACCGTTGCCACACCCATGCCAATGCAATGCCGATGGCGGGGTTCTTGTCTTCCAACAGATGTCACTAGGAATCCTTACGTGGATGATTTGGTTACGGATCCTTCTTCGGAGGATTTCGATCGGAATCCTCCTGTGGAGGGTTTCGATTGTAATCTTTCTGTGGGGGGATTCATTTTGAATCCTCCATGTGGGGGCGTTCAAACGGATCCCTTCTTGCGCAAGGTTTTTATGGGACGCCTTCTGTGGGGGGAGCCATTAGAACTCGCCAGCGCAAGGCCAACGCAATACCAACGCAATGCCAAACCATTGCCAAACCAATGCCACTGCAATGCCAACCGGGGGTTCTCTCTTCCGAAGCACTTCAATATGAAGCACGGTTTTCATAGGAATCCTTCTGTGGGGGGAGTCATTAGGACTCGCCAGCGCAATGCCAACGCAACACCAACGCAATGCCAAACCGATGCCAAAGCGATCCCAATTCAATGCCAATGCAATGCCAATGGAGGAAATCGTTTGTGGCCGGGTTCAAGAAGCATCCTTCTATGGAGGGTTTCGAATGGAATCCTTCTGTGAGGGAGTTCAATGTGAACCTTTCTTGTGGGATGCTTCCATGGGAATCCTTCTTTTTGGGGGTTCAACAGGAATCATTCTGCGAAGGGAGGTGTTGGAACTCGCCAGCGGCACTAGCAACGCACTGCCAAGCGCAATGCCAACGCAATGCCAATGCGATGCCAAACAATTGCCAAACCAATGCCGCTGCAATGCCAACGGGGGGTTCTCTCTTCCGAAGCACTTCAATATCAAGCACGGTTTTCATAGGAATCCTTCTGTGGGGGGAGTCATTAGAGCTCGCCAGCGCAATGCCAACGCAACACCAACGCAATGCCAAACCGATGCCAAAGCGATCCCAATTCAATGCCTATGCAATGCCAATGGAGGAAATCGTTTGTGGCCGGGTTCAGGAAACATCCTTCTATGGAGGGTTTCGAATGGAATCCTTCCGTGAGGGAGTTCAATGTGAACCCGTCTTGTGGGATGCTTCAATGGGAATCCTTCTTGTGGGGGGTCCACCAGGAATCATTATGCGAAGGGAGGTGTTGGAACTCGCCAGCGCAATGCCAGCGCAATGCCAACGCAGTACGAACGCAATGCCACACCAATGCCAAAACGATCCCAACCCAATGCCAAAGCACTGCCAATGGGGGAAATCCTTTGTGGTAGATTTCATTCGGGATCCTTCTGTGGAGGGTTCCGCATGGAATCTTTATGTGGAGGGTGTCAATATGAACCGTTTTGTGGAGTGTTTCAATCGGAGTTCTTCGTGTAGAAGATTTCGATCGGAGTCCTTCTGTGGAGGGGTCCACTAGGTGTCGCCAGCGCAATTGTTGCGAATTGCAAGCACACTACCAACGCACTGCCAAGCGCAATGCCAACGCAATGCCAATGCGATGCCAAGCCATTGCCAAACCTATGCCACTGCAATGCCAACGGGGGGTTCTTTCTTTCGAAGCATCGCAATAACAATCCTTTTGCGGGTGATTCCAATAGGAATCCATGCGTGGAGCATTTCAATAGGAATCATTCCGTGGAGGGTTTCGATCGGAATCCTTCTGTAGAGGATTTCACTATGAATCCTTCGTGTGGGGGTGTTCAATAGGAATCCTTCTGGGTGGGGAGGGTGGATGCGGCCACGTCGCATTCCTTTTTTTTTCGCCGCCGACCCCCCCCAGATTTTTTCCCAACCCTCCTTGGTTGGGTATTCGTTTTGAACAGAGCAGTGTGGTCGCGTCCTTCCTCCTCCCGCCTCCCGCCTCTTTCCTGCCTCTTTCTGTCTTGCCTGCGGGGGGCTGCGATCTGTGAAACTGTCGCCACTTTCGAGGCCTGCTGGGGGGTCCTGCATAGAGGGTAATCGCGGCGGATTCAAATTAGACCTCGCCATCCCTGGGGGGCTGCGATCTGTGAAACTGTCGCCACTTTCGAGGCCTGCTGGGGGGTCCTGCATAGAGGGTAATCGCGGCGGATTCAAATTAGACCTCGCCATCCCTGGGGGGCTGCGATCTGTGAAACTGTCGCCACTTTCGAGGCCTGCTGGGGGGTCCTGCATAGAGGGTAATCGCGGCGGATTCAAATTAGACCTCGCCATCCCTGGGGGGCTGCGATCTGTGAAACTGTCGCCACTTTCGAGGCCTGCTGGGGGGTCCTGCATAGAGGGTAATCGCGGCGGATTCAAATTAGACCTCGCCATCCCTGGGGGGCTGCGATCTGTGAAACTGTCGCCACTTTCGAGGCCTGCTGGGGGGTCCTGCATAGAGGGTAATCGCGGCGGATTCAAATTAGACCTCGCCATCCCTGGGGGGCTGCGATCTGTGAAACTGTCGCCACTTTCGAGGCCTGCTGGGGGGTCCTGCATAGAGGGTAATCGCGGCGGATTCAAATTAGACCTCGCCATCCCTGGGGGGCTGCGATCTGTGAAACTGTCGCCACTTTCGAGGCCTGCTGGGGGGCCCAGCACAGTGGGTAATCGCGGCAGATTCAAATTAGACCTCGCCATCCCTGGGGGGCTGCGATCTGCGAAACTGTCGCCACTTTCGAGGCCTGCTGGGGGGCCCAGCACAGTGAGGGCCACGCGCAGATTCAAATTAGACCTCGCCATCCCTGGGGGGCTGCGATCTGCGAAACTGTCGCCACTTTCGAGGCCTGCTGGGGGGCCCAGCACAGTGAGGGCCAGGGGCGGACCCAAATTAGACCTCGCCATCCCAGGGGGGCTGCGATCTGTGAAACTGTCGCCATTTTCGAGGCCTGCTGGGGGGCCCAGCACAGTGAGGGCCACGCGCAGATTCAAATTAGACCTCGCCATCCCTGGGGGGCTGCGATCTGCGAAACTGTCGCCATTTTCGAGGCCTGCTGGGGGGCCCAGCACAGTGAGGGCCACGCGCGGATTCAAATTAGACCTCGCCATCCCTGGGGGGCTGCGATCTGCGAAACTGCCGCCATTTTCGAGGCCTGCTGGGGGGCCCAGCACAGTGAGGGCCACGGGCAGATTCAAATGAGACCTCGCCATCCCTGCGGGGCTGCGATCTGTGAACCTGTCGCCACTTTCGAGGCCTGCTGTGATCCCCGTTTTCGAAGTGGCTAGGAGTGCTCAGGAATTGTAAATCATCAGCTTTATCAAGCCCTTTTCCTGTAGCCAGTGTCCTGCGAGTCTCCCGAATTCCGTCTGCAGACATATGTAACCCTCGCTCCGTCATCGCCCCCTTATAAAGTATCCTAAACTATTTGCGCCCCGCTTTTGCGCAGGGGTTGGGTACGTCGCCAGGGTAATTTTGTTTTTTTTCTCCTGGGGGGGATGGAGGGGGGAGAGAGAAACATTCAAAAAAGGAGGAGGAGGAGAAGGAGGAGGAGGAGGAGGAGGAGGAGGAGGGGGAGGCGGAAGGGTAGGAGGACGCCACAGAGTACGCACACCACTGAAAGACGCACGCGCGAACTCAGTGTGAAAGCCTCGCGCGCGCGCTCCGGAACCCCGAGGGGCTCCACAATCCCCGCTCTCTCTCGAGGAGGAAGAGGAGGAGGAGAAGGAGAAGGACAAGGAAAAGGGGGAGGAGGAGGAGGAGGCGGAGGAGGACGGACGTCGGTCGGCGCCGACGACGGCGCCGAGCGCGCCGCGGGGGGAGGCCGAGTGCACCTGGGCCTGGTCCAGGGAGCAGGGGCTCCAGTACGAGGCCGCCAAGGACCACCTGCGTCCCCGCCCCCCGCTTCCTCAGCAGGGCACTTCCCCGGCAAGGCACCTCAAATGATACATAGGGTAACGACCAATGACATAAACATGATAATTCTGAGGTCCGCGCAGATTTCTCGGATCGGCGCTGGGGCCCCTTGGCGGCGCCTCAGGCGCCGCCCCCAGCGCGCTCCGCGCGCCAGGGAGGGGGGTCCAGCGCGAGTCCAAGAAATCCGCCCGGACCTCCGAGTCCTCATGTTGATGCCATTTCTCGATCCCCTGCAGCAGGGCAGTTTCCCGGCAAGGCGCCCTGAATAATGAAGCAGCAAGAAGGGGAAGGGGCGGGTCGAGGAGTGGGAGGTCGGCTCTTTTTCAGACGGCCGGGAAAGGGGTGAGGGCACGGCAGAGAGCATCGTCATACATTTTTCGGGCCGGACGAAGGGGGGGGATTGGGAAAGGGGGGCTACGAAAGTTGCTGCATGCAGCGGGTTTTGGCCTCACCGAGGGGCCCATTCCTCGATACATAGCCGCCTCCAGCGCCGGGAGGCGCTGGGAAAGTCAGCTACGTGAGCTGATTCTCCCCCCCCCCTTTGCTTCAGCGAGCGAAGAACGGTATAAAATAAACTTTTTCGCCGTCGGACACACCTGCCCCTGGGCGGCTGGAAAGTTTATACCCCTACGGTGCCACCGTAAGGGTTCACTTCGCTCGGGAGCTCCGGGTTGAAGTGAACCCCACCCTCCCCCTCAGAAATCGTGGGGGGTAGGGGCAGGGTTCGCCTGTGGCCCCCTAGGAAACGTAAGACTCTCGAGTAAGCCGGAACTCGGGTTTGCCGACTTTGTTTTGTCGAGCGCGTCCTGGATTTTGACGGTCCCGCTTTCGTGGGATGTCTGCAGCGGGGGCCCGCTTCGAATTTCTGAGTGGGTCTCGTCATTTTTATGATGGCCCCCGTCAGGCCAACCCGTGACCCCGTACCCGAGTCTTGCGTCTCCCCGACTCTACCACCACCAGGACCTCCTGAGCGAAACGCTGCTGGGAAGAAAGCTGTGCACGTCTGAGGGATCTCCGGGTCTTCTCTTATGTCGGTCCTGTCCCCTACAGGGGAATTTTCGAAGAAAAATATAAAATACCCCAAACATGCCCCAACGCGGTCAAAACATAATCCAAAAATAGTCCCCAAATTATTTTTGGATTATGTTTTGCTTACTTTTGGGGTACATGTTTTATTCTTCGTCGAAAATCCCCCCCTGGAGGGGGACAGGCCCGACTGAAGTCTTCTCGCGCCCGCTCCAGTTCCCCGCCGCCTCGTCGGGAGCCCAGGATCAGGTCGGGCATGTCCTCCTGCAGGCGGGTTTTGGAGGGAAGCTCAAACAAAGCCCAACAAAGATTGTACAGTAGTCGTAAAATCGTCCCCAGAGTATTTTGTTGACTATTGCGAAGGCCTTACGGCCGGTGCCGCCGACCTGAATGGCGACGACGACGACGACGACGACGACGACGACGACGACGACGACGACGACGAGCGCTCTTGGGGGCCTCTTGGGGGTAGTTTATGAGCCTCTTGGGAAGCTCTTAGGGGCCGCTTGGAAGCCTCGTGGGGGCCTCTTGGGGCTTCCTGGGGGTCTCTTCGAGGGGGCCTGGGACGTCTTGGAGGCTTCTTGGATGGTCTTGGGGCTATCTTGGGCGTTTTCGGCTGATCTTTGGGCGACTGGGGGCCCTCTTGGGCCGTCTCGGGGGCCATCTTGGGCATTCGGACCTCATTTGGAGTGTTTTCGAGGTTTCTTGGCCGCCCGAGGAAAAACGAATCTGCCCCAGTCGAAACATCGTCCCCAGAGTATTTCTTTGACTATTCTCGAATCCTCCCCGCCGGGGCGGGGGGCGTGTCCGCACGGCGGCTCCCGGGGGGGCGATTCTGGCCTCGGCGCGGGGGCCTCTCGGCGGGCGGGGGGCCCCCGTCGGTCCTTATACCTCCGCCGCCCGCCGAGGCACCCGGCGGCGCCCGCGCGCTCCCCGCGTGCGGCGGTCGCGGAGAGCGCCCCGCCCGGCATGCAGGTTTGGACGCCTCCTCCTCCTCCTCCTCCTCCTCCTTCTCCTCCTCCTCCTGCTCCTTCTCGTCGAGCCTCCTCCTCCTCCTCCTCCTCCTCCTCCTGCTCCCCGGGCGGCGGTCACTGAGAGCGCTCCGCCGGGCATGCAGGTTTGGACGCCCGCAATGGGTGCGGCGCAGACGTGTGCGAGCGCAGCCAGTGGGACCCGCGGTGGAGTAAAACAACGCAAAGATCGGGACAAAATCGGATCGGGATAACTCGGAATCTCTGAGAATCGGCGGGTTTGGAGGATGTATTGGGCGCCGCGGCCGCTCCAGAGCGTTCCGGAACGCTCTGAGAGCGCTCCGGGACGCTCTGGAGCGATTTGTCCCGATCCTGGCCCTGTTTTATCCTGGAACTCCCTCGCAGGGCCACGGAATGTGCGATGAGCATGCCGGCACGGGTGGCGCGGACGCACACGAGCGCAGCCACGGGGACTGTCGGTGGAAGCCCTTGTAGGGCCAACAGATCGGCACGAGCGAAATGGGTACGGAAAGAATGGGCACACTGCCCAACAGCAGTTCCTGTTCATTCTGAAGAGGACTCGCTGTCCGCGCCGCCGCGGCCTGTGTCCATTCGAGACAGAAGGCCGCCTGCCCAACAGCGGCCGCTGTTGGTTTGGGACAAAATTTGTTGTTGGGCATTGTACCAATTTGTTCTGTACCCATCTCGGGCGTCCAGATATGATTAGGAAACCTCCTCCCGAAAGGTTGGGCCAGCGCTACTTAGCCCACCTGCCGGAACGCAAGCCCAGCTTCTCGAGCACGTTCGCCTTTCCAGCAGGAACGGCAGAGTTTGGCCGAGGCGAGTTGGGCATTGTACCCACTTTTCTGTACCCATTTCGGGCGTCTAAATCCAGTGGGGCCTGTTCCTCTACAGGAGGAGTAGTCCACAGCAGTCAAAGAACAGTCTGGGGACGCTGGCCCGACCAGTCTTGGGGCTACTGTGTGTTGCACTTCTGGGGTACGTTTCATCCGCCTGCAGGGGGACACGCCCGACTTGAGGCCTGGCATCCTTCTCCGCGTCCCTCCTCCGGACTGTGGCCCACCACCTGGCAGGACCCCCGTCTCCAATCAGCTCGCTAGGCTCCGTGGAAGTGGTGCCTCGTCGCCTGTTGGGCCACGCGTACCTGGTGTCCAGACGTCTGCGATCTGCGAATGCTGTTGTGTGTGCGTGTGCGTGTGGTTTGAAAGTTGTGCCCATCTGGAGATTTAAGCAAGGGCTGCATGCTGGTGTGCCTCGTGAGCCTTGCAGGTGGTGTCGGGACCGAGGCGGCGGGCGGAGAGAGGGCAGGCTCGGGAGATGCTGTCTCGAGTAGCCCGAGACACCTGGGCCTGAAACCGCCCGTTCGCCTTCAGCGAACTAGACTTCGGCAAGAGCGAAGGAGGAGGAGGAGGAGGAGGAAGCCGTACAGTCGGACCGAGGTATCAGACGATAAGATCGAGGTCGGCTCGGGGAGGGCGGCCTGATGCTCGTGCTTGTCGGATGCTCTTGTGCACCCTAGGGAGGGTGCCCCTGGACGTTCTGCATGTTTTTGGCTGGCGGAGGGTCTCGTGTTCTTGACGGATGTTTTGTTTGGCCTAAGTCCGATTGTACTGCATCGGCTAGCCTCCAGCCGATCGAAAAGTTGGAACATACGACTGTAGCCAAAGCTCAATGTTCTCCTCGGGAGAAACTAGCACTCTGTTTCCGGTGTACGTCAGAACGCATACCAAATCCTTTTGATATCCATCCTTTTGACGGCGCTTCTTTGCGCTGGCCCTTCCATGATCATCAAGAAACCAACACGCAAGTTTGCGCAGAAGGAGCTCCAGAACCTTACTGGCCACAACCTTCGTTAACCCGTCGGCCAACCGAGCATCATTTTGGACCCACCGGACTAGGGTCTGGCCTGCAGATCTTTTGTTTTGTCTGAGCGCAAACAGCTCGACTTCTGTGCAAGCTAGAGGGAGCAGAACGATACACACAGTCGCAGGACGCTTTCGCATCTGTCACCAGCGTGCCTGGGACCAGCTGGACCTTGATGGTGATGGTGATGGTGATGATAATGATGATGATGATGATGATGATGATGATGATGATGATGATGATGATGATGATGATGATGATGCTGATGATGATGATGATGATGATGATGATGATGTTGGTGATGATGGTGATGATGACGATGATGATGATGACGATGATGATGATGATGATGATGATGATGGTGATGATGATGATGGTGATGGTGATGGGGATGGGGATGATGATGATGATGATGATGATGATGATGATGATGATGATGATGATGATGATGATGATGATGATGATGATGATGATGATGATGCTCGTCCCGCCAGGCCCAGGCATTAAACCGCGTCTACGACCTCGTGTCTCAGACCACCGCCGGCGGCACCGCGCTGCCTCGCCTGCGGCCTGGAGGGAAGCGTGAACCTCGGCCAGCGAAGATCTCCGTGCAATTCTGGGCGCGCTGTTGGAAGCCCATTTGACCGTAGCGCTACCCCCCATCCCCCCATCAAAGCGTCTGAATAACAGCAAAAGTGAAGAGGCGGGTCGAGGAGTGGGAAAAGCACGGCCAGGAAGCCCTGAGCAAGAACAGATGCAGCCAGGACGGGGGTGAGAGCACGGCCATGTGCACTTCAGAGCGTACCTTCTGCGAGGGATCATTGGGCCGTCCAGACCAAACACTTAGCCGGCATTCAGAAGAGATGAGCAGTTTTGACGATTTGAATATTTTGGGAGGAGGCGAAACGGCCATTTCGGAACGGCGTCCAAAGGCTCCCCGTCCCTTCTGTGAGACTCCTCCATCGTGAGACGCTGAGGGGAAAGTCACGAACTTTGCAGTCCAATATTCAAACTGTGGCAATCCCGGCAGCCATACCCAGTGTGTTTGACAAGTGTGGTTGGTTGGCGAGATCCTCATTGGGAAAACCAGTAGCACCTAAACTCTCCTTCGATGAGAAACTGTCCATCAATATAGTCTGATGGGCCAACACAGATTTGCAACAAATCAACTGTTTCAGGACAGTGGTCTGGTCTGCGTCGCACGCCACTCGCTGCAATTGAAATTCTTCGACGCTGTGAACTCTCGCTTCAGTGCCCGAAGCATCCCGCTGTCGTTCTTTCTCGTTTGTCATTTCGATGAGATCAGCTTTATCTCGGCAACATCAACTTGGGACAACATGAAATTGGAGTCCATCCGCTGATCCAACTTGACGCCACAGTTCATGAAAGAGTTTCGCTCTCATTCGGCCACACGAACACTTCAGTTATAACTACTCGTCATGTTCTCGTGCCACTCAGACTCGTCCTAGGGTCTAGCGGTGAGGAAGTCATCCACGTGTCTTGCAATGATTTCGGTAATGTTTCTCCCTACTGATGGCTCCATCGGTCCTCGAAATGAAGGTTCGTCCATGTCGTTGCACGCCTTCCCCTGCTTGGGATCCGCATCCACGACACACGATCCAACAGCATTGCTCCGTGTCCAGTCCGTTAAAACCTAACGCTTTAGATATCTGGTTCACCGATGTGTGTCCTCCCTTCGGTGTGTTGGCGAGCCCATGGCATGCCAGTAGGATCTGCATTGTTTGTCCTTGATCAAGTCCAAGCTCCTCTGTGTGGTCTGGGACTTGCTTCGCGTAGATCGTCCGCTCAGTCTCTCAGTTCGACCCTTCAGGAATGCCGTAGTAGCTAGCGCTCGCCTTCCCTGTGAGTCACCGTTTCTAAGTTGCTATATGGCAGACGCAGTCTTTGCAAAACCAAGCCGGTGAGAAGACATGTCGATGAGGATGGAGAGTGAGGGGAAGAGATAGGAGAAAGCGGTTGATGAGGAGGTTAGTGGGAGGAAGGAGGGGGATTTGGGAAATAAGGGGGAGGTGAGGAGAAGGAGGAGGAGGAGGAGGAGGAGGAGGAGGAGGAGAAGGAGGAGGAGGAGGAGGAGGAGGAGGATGGGGTGGGAGGAGGACTTAACGAAAAAGAGGAGGAGGACGATGACGAGGACGAGGAGGAGGAGGAGGAGGAGGAGGAGGAGGAGGACTGGACGAGCAGGAGGAGGGAGAAGAGGATGAAGAGAAACAGAGGGTGATATGTTGATGAGGAAGACATTGCCACGAGAGCAGACCAAAGCAGGGCCGCCCGGATCTAGCCGTATCCCCTCCTGGAGGAGATGAGGAATCACCCCAAGTACGGCGACAGTTTCACCAAGAGGTTCAACGCTACCACTTTTGAGGATGAGCCCATTCTTTTCCGCCTTTTTGTGCCTCAACCCAGAATGACGCACCCATCCCCACCCCCATCCCACCCCCAGTCGCGGCACCAATTCGGCAGACTTGCCAAATTGAAGCCACGATTGGGGTGAAATCTTAGGGACAGGCCCATGCTCAAGCGCCATCCCTTGAAGACTGCCGAACTCCCACCCCCATCCCCAGTCCTGGCTCCCCGCCTGCCAGGGCTGCCCGCGTGTGACGTGGTCGAGGGCGGAGGTGTCATTTTGGGCTGTGACCGTTGTTCGAGGACCGATGATTCTACAGCCCACTGAACCCTTTTGACCCTGTCGGGGGCCTTCTACCGAAGGGCTTTCGGCCTGTCCTGCGAGCGTGTGTGTGTGTGTGTGTGTGTGTGTGTGTGTGTGTGTGTGTGTGTGTGCTGGGGTAGAGTCTGCAGGGATGTTTCTTGGAACCCGGGGCGCTTACAGGGGGGGGCTCCCTGGCCTCGGCCCTCCGGGGATCGTGGACCGATGATCCTCCCCCGGGGCACGGCCGGAGAAGTCCGCGGACCCCTCCACACCTCCTGCTCTTACGCCTCCTTGTCGCAGCGGGCGGAGAACGGTACAGGGCGAGCTCTTCCGCCACCGGGGGGGCGCCTCTCCCAAGGGGGCGGCTGGGAAGCTGACGCCCTGACGTGACACCGCAGGGTGTCCAAACTGTCTGGCCGCCCTGGGACAGGCGTCCCCCGACGGCGAGCAAGTTTCTTCGATGCCGCTCTTCGCTTATGACTTCTCCTCGGAGGGAGACGGGGGAGGAGCAGGCCTCGGTGCCCTGCGTGCCCTGGGCTGCCATGGGCCGCCCTCGCGGGCCCTCCTTCTTCCGCTCGTCCTCCTCCGCTTCCGGCCCCTCCTCCTCGCCCTCTTCCCCTCGCAGTTGAAAAAGGAATCCGCAGAGTGTGCTCGCGATTTCTCGCACCGCCCTGGTTGAATCTGGCACAGGTATAGAAGCGCCATGGGGGAAGTGGGCCATGGGGGAAGTGGGCCCTGAGGGAAACGGGTCCTGAGGTGTTTCGCCATGTTCCGGGCTCGCGGGGCCCTCCACGGGCCCCCGGGACCCTCAGAGAACGGTTCCGGATGGGATGCCCCCGTGCCACGAGATGGTGAACCGTATGGTCGCTGGCAGGGTGGGGCACGGCATCGCTCGTGTCCCAGGCAGTGGTTGCAGGGGTCCTTCTCCAGCTTCGCAGGCGATTTCTCTCCCCCAATCCCCGACTTCCGCCAGAAAAGTTTGGTCGCTCAGAAAAGGGGAGGAATCTTGGGATACATCCCGAGGGGGCTATTCGGACGCACCCCTGTCGAGGATGGACGCCCCCCCCTCGTATATCCCAGGGTTGGGCCCCAAATTGTTGATCCTCTCGAAAACCTCACGGAGCCTGGGATAGGGGTCGACGCATCCCCTGTTACAGCGTGCCTGCAGCAAGTCACGTCACGGTGTTAGCCTTAAGTCGGGCTGGTCCCTCTGCAGAAGGGAAATTCAAACATAGTCCAACAGTAGCCTGGGGACTATTTTTGGGTATGTTTTGACCATCTTGGAGTTTTTTTTTGTTGGGGGGGTATTTCTGATTTTTCGTCGAAAATCCCCCTGCAGGGGGACACGCTCGACCTCGTAGGGGTATTTCGCCGAAATACCCCTACGAGGTCGAGCGTGTCGAAATACCCTTGATGTTTCGTCGAAGTACCCCTGTAGGGGTATTTCTGATTTTTCGTCGAAGCTCCCCCTGTTAGCCCAGCACTGTTCGAGGAGCGCACAGGGAGCCGACGCGTGCGACACACCTCGGACCCCGAGGCAGCCGCAGCCCGGTCCGTGCGGCGCGCTCCTCCGCTGCGTGTCGGGGGCGTCAGCTTTCGTCCTCGCCGTCGGTCGTCTTCCTCTCTTCCTCAAGGGCTCCCACGAGGGCGCGAAGTTATTCGCTCTCTTCGCGCTTCGCGGTCCTCGCTCCTTCTCCCCCTCCTCCTCGTCCTCCCTGTCTCCCTCTGGGGGCGCGTCGCGCGAGGGCGCGAGAGTGGTTCCGCGCGGCGCGCGTCGCGGCGCGCGAGAGCGCGAGACTGGGAGCCCTTTTCGTCGCTTCTTGCGCGTTCTTTGCTTCTTCCTCAGCTCAGCTCCCTGGGGAGCTCCCTGGGGTCCGAGGCCCGAAAACCATCACTGCACGAATTTTGGGCCCCAGGGCCCACTGAGGCCCCAGGGGCCCCAGATCAGTGAAGTGCTGTTTTTCCCCTTCGTAAGGACCCCGAAATTCATCACTTCACTAATTTTGGGCCCAGGACGAAAGTCAGGGGCCGAATTGCCGCTGTGATGCCACATCGGCCTCGTATGGGGGCTCGACTGGGGGCTCCCCGGGCAGTCCCGGGGCGCTCCCTGGGGCGGCCAGAGGCGCCTGCCGAGCGGCCGCCTCGGAGGGCTCCTGCGACGGGCTCTGGGCCTTTTTTTCTTGTTGGGCCCGGGGGGGCAGGTGGGGCCGCCGTGGGGTCTCCTGGGGCCGACCTCGGGCCGTCTTCCATATATATATAGGATATATATATATAATATGTATATATATATATATATATATATATATATATTTAACGGGCCGTCTTCCATATATATATATATATATAGGAAGAGATATCGATATCCAGCACGTGTCCGACCTCGGCATATGTACGCATTAGTGGCTCTGATTGTTATCGATCCGTGTTGGGATATGACAGACCTGGGGGGGCAGGCGGGGCCGCCTTGGGGTCTCCTTGGGGCCGACCTCGGACCGTCTTCCAGGCCTATGAGCGGGAGGGGGAAAAACACACACACACAGACACAATGAATCCTCGACCCCGCAGGAAGATGTGGGAAAATAGGGGAAGTGGGGGGGAATACAGAAATCAAAAAAACATTGGAAATATTGTGAATCCTGTTGTTTGTGTGTGTGTTTATTTGTGTGTCCCAGGGCCCCTTCACTATGAGCCGTCTTGACAGCCTCTTGGGCCGTCTTGGAGGCATCCTGGCCCTTCGTGGGCCCTGGGAACGACAGGGCCGTTTTTGTTGCCGGTTCCGTTTTGCCGTTTTTGTTGCCGGTTCCGACGCTGTTTTTGAACCTGTTCCGTCGCCGTTCTTTTACGGGTTCCCGCTCTGGTTCCAATCCTGGAGCCGTTTTTGTTGCCGTTTCCGGTCGCCGTTTTTTTGCCGTTCCCATTTTCAAGGGACATTTTTCGGAAACGGTGAAAAAACAGCCCTGCCGTTTCCGGGGCCCACTAAGTATGAGCCGTCTTGAGAGCCTCTTGGGCCGTCTTGGAGGCATCCTGGCCGTCTTGGGCAAGCCTTCGAAGCCCCTTCGGCCGTCTTGCGCCGACGGGAGCCTGGAAAGGAAAGGCAGCGGGCACCAGTCAAACGCCTGTTACTGTTCGGGCCATCGATGCTTCTGATCTCTTCGGGCTTTACCCTCTTGGGCCACCTTAAGGCCATCTTTCACCACCCACCAACCCACCCCAAACCAACCCGAAGGCTCAGATTTACCCTCGATTTCCAGTGGGGGGGGGGGGGTCGGGGAACATCGAAAAAACACGTATGGAACCCATACCCCCCCCAGCCCGAAATTTGGGTCTTCGGGGGTTGGGTTGGGGTAGGTAGTCATCTACGGCGTGGAGATGATCACTCGGGGTCGCCAAGAGCCGCCGCGCGCACGGCGGCCTCGTGCGCGGGGGCTCTTGTGGGCCCACCGCCGCGCTCGCGCGCGGCGGCCCCGCAGTTTTCGGCCCAGAAAATATAGGAAAATATGGGGAATCTTTTTATTTGTGTGTACTTATTTGTGTGTCCCAGGTCCCCTTCAATCTTGGGCGCCTTGAGGCCATTTTGGGCCGTCTTGGGCCGGCGTGGGCCGTCTTGCAGGCACCTGGGGTGTCCTGCACGCCATGGGAGGGCGCCAAGGAGGCGTCGGGGCGCCCAGGGAGGTTCGGCGGGGAGGGGGCGGTGCACAAGCACCCTTTGCGTGGAGTGAGGGGGGGGGCCTCAGGAGGAGGAGGAGGAGGAGGAGGGGGAGGAGGGGAGAGGAGGAGGAGGAGGAGAGGAGGAGGAGGAGGAGGAGGGAGGAGGAGAGGAGGAGGAGGAGGAGGAGGAGGAGGAGGAGGAGGAGGAGGAGGAGGAGGAGGGAGGAAGAGGCAGGGGGAGAAGGAGGAGGAGGAGGAGGAGGGTTCGGCATCCATACCAGACAACACTTGGCATTCTGCCACGTCTCAGGGTACTTCAGGGGGCGCGATGGCGGATTGGGATTCGGCGTGGCAGTGCGCAGCTGTATGCTCGTGAGCACGAGCTCTGCGGGGGCATGGAGAAGGGGAACTGTTGCGGGGAGGCGACGTCGCGCACGACGAGAGAAAACCCGCTGGAGTTGTACGGCGTTTTGTCCTTCGTTTTTGGTGTTCGCCTGCGGCACTGCGGCACCGCACGGGGGCGACGCTTGGCGATACCCCTCGTCCACGCCCTCCTCTGTGATCTTCGTACCATCATTGTTGAGGTGGTGTCGACCACCTTGCAGCACCGCTGCCTCTCCCCCTGGGGGCCCGCGGGGTGTATCTCCGAGCAGACATCGCGGCGCCAGCGCAGTTGCGGGATCGCCCTCCCGTCTTTGCGGCACCGATCGCTGCGAGGGGGCGGAGGCGGGTGCCGGTGCGTCTCGGCGGTTTCGTTGGCAGTTGGCTTTCGCCAGCCTCCCTGCCTCGCCACTGTGGTCCTACTCGGGGCAGCTCAGCTCGACGACGTCGCCGCGTGCCCTTTGCTTGGGGGGCTTGCGGGCCATTCCCGATCAGCACATCATTTCCGATGGCTGTAGGCGGCAACCCGTTTTTCAATCATCCTGTTGTGTTGGGTCGTCGTTTTGAAGAGACAGCAGCCCCGAGTCACTCTTCCGTCTTCCTCCCCCCTTCTCTCACCCCTGCCTCAGCTCTCCACATGGCAATCATGTCGGCACACCGCTCATACAGTTCGTAACCCCACATGGAGCTCCACCAAAGGCCCCAGCGTCAGTGCTCACATTCGTCCCCTCGCACGTTTCTTGTCCCCGCTCCACCGAAGGTCCCAGTGGCTGCTTTCGGATGGTATCGCCGCGCAAATTTCTGCGCACCCCTCGCACGTTTCGTGTCCTCACATGGAGCTCCACCGAAGGTCCCAGGGGCTGCGTTCGCATGGCGTCGCCGCACCCATGTCGTTGCACCCCCCTCACACGTATCGTGTCCCCACCAGGATTTCGGCCCACCCCTCACATGTTTGATGGCTCCACAGGGAGTTCTGCGCAAGGCCCCAGGGTCTGCGTTCGCATGGCGTCGCCGCACCCATCTCGGCGCACCCCTCACGCGTTTCGTGGCACCACCGGGAGCTCCACCGAAGGCTTCATTGGCTGCGTTCGCATGGCGCAGTCGCACCCAGGCCGTCGCAACCCACGCGTTTCGAGGCTCTACAGGGGGCTATGCCGAAGGCACCAGTTGCTGGGGTCACATGAGGTCGCCACGCCCACTTCGGCGCACTAATTACACGTTTCGTGGCCCCAGGGAGGTCCACCGAAGGCCCCAGAGGCTGCATTCGCATGGCGTCGCCGCCCCCAATGTCGGCAGACCCCTCGAACGTTCCGTGGCGTCACAGGGAGCTCTGGCACACCCCTGACACGTTTCGTGGCCCCAGTTGCTGCGTTCCCATGGCGCCGTCGCACCCGTAGGCAAACCCCTCTCACGTTTCGTGGCCCCGTGGAGGGCTCGATTAATCGCCCCAGCGGCACAGGGCCCGCATGGCGTCGTCGCACCAATTTCGATACATACACAGACATACACACAGACACACACATACACAGACACACACAGACACACACACACAGACACACACAGACACACACACAGACACTCACAGACACAGACACACACACACAGGCACACACACACACACGCACACACACACACACACACGCACACACACACACCACACACACACACACAAACAGTAACACACACACACGCACACACACACACGCACACACACACACACACCCACAGCCACACACAAACACACGCACGCACGCACGCACGCACGCACGCACACACACACACACACCCACACCCACACCCACACCCGCATCCACACCCACACCCACCCACCCACCCACCCACACCCACACACCCACTCACACACACGGACACACAGACACACACACAGACACACACAGACACACACACACACACTCATACACACACACTCACACACACACACGCACACACACACACACACACGCACACGTACAACTCACACGGTTCGTGGCCCCATGGGGAGCTCCACACCCTAGTGGCAGCGCCTGCATGGGGGCATCGTCCCATTGTGGCGCGTTCTTCGCACGTTTAGTGGACTCATCGGGATCTCCACCAACGTCGCCAGCGCCAGCGTCCACATGGCGGCACCGCTTCATTTTGACACACTTCTCACACGCTTTGGGCCCCATATGGAGCTCCCCTTCCTTCGTCTCACCTACCCTGCGGTGCTCGCGCCTGGATGTGGTTGGGATTTTCGCCGCGATAGTCTCTGATCTGCAGCGCCGGTTCGAACCCTGCGAGACCCGCGAGCTGCTTGGCATCAAGCTGGACGCTGGCAGGTCGCTCATACCACTCGCATTCTCACCCCTGTCGCGTGGCAGGAGGCGTGTTCTATCAGTTTCTCCACGCCGCGGGGGGTCCGGGTGCTCGCCGCCGCGGTGCCGTCGCGGGTGGGAAGCGCAGTCATGCTCGATGCCTGGCCTCCTGACAACCGAAGATCATCCGAGCACCCCAGAGGCCCCTATTCTTTCTAGACTCTGGTAAGAGTTTATTTACTTGCATGGAGGGGGGGGGGGCCTGGCGAAGCCCGAAAGGGGATGTGGACTTCACGCAGGCCGGGACTCACTTGTACAGTCGGGGCGCTGAAGAAGGAACCCTTTTCGTTGGGGAGGGGTTCCGTGTTCCCTGATTGTTGCACAGCTTGCCTCACGTTTTCCTTAGGTTTTCGATAGGGAATCGAAGTTTAACTTTTGGAAAAAAGGGGCCTCGTTCCTTATTTGGGGTTCCTTAGGTCAACGCCCCGACTGCACGCCCGTTCGGCCCAGCACTGCTGGAGGAGGCGGCCGAGACGCAGGTGAGAGGACAGGGGCGGGCACGTGCCACGCCAGCGAGCGTGCCCGAGCCAGCGGAGCCACGCTCCCTCCTGCAGAGCTGTTGGCTTGGCACAGTCGGGGCCCTGAAGAAGGAACCCTTTTCGTTGGGGAGGGGCTCCGTGTTCCTTAAGTGTTTCACAGCTTGCCTCAGGTTTTCCTAATGTTTTCGATCGGAAATCGAAGTTTAACTTATGGGAAAGGAGGAGCCTCGTTCCTTATTTTGGGTTCCTGAAGTCAAGGTCCCGACTGCATCGCAGGAGCATCCTGCATCACCCTTCGAGAAAAAAACCACGCACGCAACCGAAACAAAACAAAACGGAAAATGGACGTCCGAGCGATGGCGAGTTGGGCGCGCGGACTGCCTGGGATGTCGCCGGGGCCCGCGCCGGAGCGGGGCGCCTCATCCGGCCTCTCCGGGGTGCCGTGCGGAGGGGGTGCGGGGGAGCCCCTGCCGCGTGCCTGCTGGGGCTCGCCCTCCTGCCGCGTGCGTGGCTGCGGCGCCCTCCTCCTGGGCACCCCGCAGCCACCACGCGAGGCGCCGCGCCTGCTGCCTCCCAAGCGCTGTCGCGCCCGCGCAGCGCGCGGCAGCAGCTGGCCTCATCGATGCGGACGTGTGTTGCGGATGTGGCTGTTGCTGCAGTAGTTGGCTCCGCCAGAACCGCGGTGGGCGCATCATGTGGCGCTTCTAGCGGTTGTCTGCCCTCCTTGGTCCTAGACGCACCTTTTTACCCAGGGTCAGCCACGGTGAAAAAGGGCCGCCCGCGGGATTGGGCGCTTGCCACCGTTCCCGATCAGCTTGCCGCGCGCGCGCTGGTTCAGCATCCAGGCGTCAAGGTGCATCGAAGCGTTCAATGGCTGGTTCTTTGGCTGCAGCAACACGCGCTGATTTTTGTTAGGGGCGTTTGGGTGCACGGGCGTGCAAACGCGTCTGAAGGCCGCATCTGATTGGCGGCGCCCGCCCCGCTCGAGAAAGACAAGATGATCCCCTCCCTATCCTGGCGACCACTACGTCTGAGCTTGTCCGCAAGAAATCTCGCGCTCCCGGGGGAGGGGGGGGGCGCAGCAGCCGCGCTGGGGAGGGCTCTACGGGGCAAAACATTCGCCCGAGAGCGATTTCGGCCAAACGCCACTTCGCCTAGGTACGTGTATCCTCCCGGGGGTACCGTCGACGCGGCGTCGACACGGTTCCCCCCAACACATACCCGGACCTAGATGGGGTGATTCCAGCCGGGTATTCCAGAGGAGGCGCCTGCACCCAGCCTTCGGGGCCGTTTTGCTTTTTGCATCGAGCAATGACGATTTCCTGACTGTCCTTTGTTGACATTACCGGCACAATTGTTTGCATTCGCCCCCGAATGCGTCGACCCCCCAACGCTTGAATCTGTGCCCCCGTAAGCGCACCTCCGAACGAGCTGGTCTACTTCGACAGCGATCAACGCAGAGTCGGCTATTCCGCCGTTTCGAAGGCACGTGCACTCGGCAGCAATTGGTGCCTGGAGGAGGCAGCGTCTTGTAATGTTCAATCGGCCGTCGCTTCTACACTTGTGCAGCCGCTTTCGGCTGCGAAGTGTCGCCCCCCCCCGCTCCATGCCACTTTCCTAGGTCAGGGTAGGGCTGTTTTTCGCGATCGCCCAAGGTTCGCTTCCGACGAACGCAAGACCCACGAGGCTGCGGCACTGTGCCTTCAGTTGGGCTTGGGTGCCAATTTGTTCAAGCGAGCCATGGCTAGCGAGCTTGGGTCGGAGTTGCGTACTTCAGCCACGGTTCGATTGCTGCACCGCCAGTCGGTTTCAGTTGAATCTCTGGCAGGGGACCCCTGCTCGCATTAGGGGCAGAGGATGCGCTGGTACGCCTGGAACGTTGCAGGGCCTGCCCTTGCCAGTCACCACCCGCCAAACCACCTGGAGCCAACCCGAAGGCCCAAACTAACTTTTCACACGAGGAGGGCGTCGGGAAGCATTGAAGGACACATGTGGAACCCGCACCCCCCCCAATCCCGAAATCTGGATCTTCGGGTCCGATAGGTGGTCAGTCAGGCGGTGTGCGTCACTCATGCCGCGGGAGGAGCGTCAGCGGGCTTCCGTGGCGGTCGCGAGCACGGGTAGGGTTGTACGCGCCCTCTCCCGCCCTGCGCGCGGTTCGGGGCGAGCGCGCTTCGTGGCGCGGCTTGCCTGGCGCGGGAAAGTTGGATCGCCCGCGGGGGCCCGAAGACAGCTGCGCCTTCGCGCGCCGCGGTCTGGGCCAGAGCGGCGGTCCTTCGCCCGAGAGGGGGATCCGCGCGAGGGTCGCGCGAGGGCGCGAGGCCAGTCGCGCATCGCGGGGCGCGAGGGCGCGACGTTGGGCGGGGGCCGATGCCTCGGAGTCTCGGCGGTCGGCCCTGCGGCGGCCGCGCGCCCCGCGCCGCACGAGCGGCCTCTCGGGCGCCCCGTCGGCCTTCGCGGCGCAGCCCGCGCACTTGGCGCGGCGCGAGGTCCCACGCGGCGCGCCGCCGAGGCCACGGCCACCTCCCCCCGCAGCAGCAACAACGACGGACCGCGCCTTCGGGGGCATGGCCCCTTGTCGTGATCGTCCTTTCCTCCTCGTCCTTCCCCCTTTCCGTCCTCATCCTCCTCCTCCTCATCTTCCTCCTCCTCCTTCTCCTCTTCCTCTTCCTCCTTCTCCTCCTCCACATCCTCCTCCTATTCCTCCTCGTCCTCCTCCTTTTCCTCATCCTCCGTCCCTCCTCCTTCTCCTCCTCCTCTTCCTCCTCCTCCTCCTCCTCCTCCTTCTCCTCCTCCTCCTCATTCTCCTCCTCCTCCTGTCCTCCTCCTCTCCTCCTCCCTCCTCGTCGTCGTCCTCCTCCTCCTCCTTCCTCCTCCGCTTCCTCGTCCTCCCCCTCCTCCTCCTCGTCCTCCTCCTCCGCCTTCCCCCTCGTCCTCTCCTCCTCCCTCCTCGTCGTCCTCCTCCTCCTCATTCCTCCGCCTCCTCGTCGTCCATCCTCCTCCTTCTCCTCCTCCTCCTCCGCCTCCTCCTCCTCCTCCTCCTCCTCCTCCTCCTCCTCCTCCTCCTCCTCCTCCTCCTCCCTCCTCCTCCTCCTCCTCCTCCTCCTCCCCTTCCTCCCTCGCCTCTCCTCTCTCCATCTTTACCCTCCTCTCCTCCTCCATCCTCCTCCTCCTCCTGAGCCTCCTCGTCCTCCTCCTTCTCCTCCTCCTCCGCCTCGTCCTCCTCCTCCTCCTCCCCGTCCTCCTCCTCCTCCTCCTCCTCCTCCTCCTCCTCCCCTCCTCCTCCTCCTCCTCCCACCTCTCCCCACCCTCCTCCTCCTCCTCTTCCTCCTCCTCCTCCTCTTCCTCTCCTCCTTCATTATCCTCCTCCTCCTTCTCCTCCTCCTCCTTTTCCTCCTCATCCTGTCCTCCTCCATCCTCTTCCTCCCCCTCTTCTCCTGGACAGCGATGCGATCGTCTTCTTCTGTCAGGGGCTCGAGGCGTTCAAGATGGAGATGGACACGTTCGACCAGCAGATCGATCGCATCCTGGCCAAGTCGGAGGCCATGCAGCGGTCCCACGAGAGGCAGGTTACGTCCAGGTGGCAGGCGTGGGCTGTGGCATCCTTCGCTGGAGGGGCCAGCCGCGCCCACAGGTTTTCGAAGCCGCAGGCGCTCCAGGAGGTGATCCACTTTGGCGCAGGGGTTCAGCACGCCTACCAGCTGGCCGACCGCAAGCTGTCCTACTGGAGCGAGTTTTGGCGGACGCACAAGGATGGCCCGATCCAGCTGCCGAGCGATGCCGCTAACTGGGACCAGCTGCCGCCGCTGAGCGGCGCCGACGTCCGTCGAGCGATCCGCGCTTTCAGCTTGCGCTCAGGTGCTGGGCAGATCAAGATCGCGCCGCGGGCCCTCGATTTCCTGTCTGACACTGCCCTCGAGGCGATGGCCCAGGTGTTCTCCCGTTGCGAGCAGCTGTTGGTTTGGCCACAGTCGCGCTTCATCACAAAGCTCGTTCGCCTTCCCAAGCCTGGGGGAGGAGAGCGCCTGATCGCCCTCCTCAACACCCTGGTGAGGGTTTGGGGGCGGGCACGGCGCCCAGTCCCGGCGCAGTGGGAGGTCGCCAACGCGTCCGAGGAGCTTTGGGGGCACATCGGAGGCCGCTCCTCGACGGACGCAGCGTTCGACCTGGCGCTTGAGAAGGAGACCGCCCAGCTGTCGGACCAACATGTGGTGATAGTGCTCCTGGACATGCTTAAGTTCTACGAGCTGGTTCGGCACCAGGCGATCCTCGATGAGTGCAGGGCCAACGGATATCCCATGAGACTGGCTTACATGCTGGTGACGATGTACGAGCAGGCGCGCACCATCTACGCGTATAACTCGTTCTCAGAGGATAGGGTCATCTGCCAGGGCATCCTGGCTGGTTGCACTCATGCGACCACGCTGCTGATGGTGCTGCCCACGCGCAGCATCACGTGGACCAAGACCGTCGCTCGTGAGGTTCGGCCTCGGGGCCTGGTTGACGATGTTGCGCTTTCCTGGGCGGGAGCTGATGCGCGGGGGTCACGAGCCATGGCCACGGCTAAAGCTTTCTGCGAGGAGGTCAGGCCACTAGGACTGGTGTTGCAGCTGAACAAGTCAGGGCACCTTGCGGTCACACGCCCGACGAAGTACTACTTCAAGGCGTACGCCAGGGTGCTGAGGATCGAGGGCAAGCGCCACTGGGTCACGACATGTCGGCCAATGGCGCGGTGCGAGGAGTTCGGAAGGGCAGGCTCAAGATGATGCATGCCAGAAGGCCTCGCTTGTCGGCGCTGCAGAAGGGAGCTGGCCGTGGGCGCGCCGCGCGGCTCTGGACTACAGGAGCGATGCCCTCAGTGGGTCACGGAGCCGCGGTCAACGGCATCAATGACTGGGAGCTGAAGCAGTTGCGAAATATGGCTGGCAGTTTCTGTGGTTTCAGTGGCTCAGGCTCCCTCACCCTGTATTTGGCGGTGCAGAAACAGCGCAACTTCGACCCCATCTTCCACGCGACCTGCAGCATCCTGATGCAGCATGCGTCGTGGGTCTGGACGGCAACAGGATCGACCGCCCAGCTGCAGAAGGCGCGGATGGCGCTGAAGGAGAAGTTCGACGGCGCCAGCTCCCCAGTCACGTGGGCCAGTGCCCGCGGCCCGCCTTCGGCACTGTGGGTCGCGCTGAGGAGACTTGGCTTGGCTGAGGAGACTTGTCGACGACCTCGGAGCGGGCATCGACCTTCTCAGGATGTGCCCAAGCGAGGTTAAGCACTACATGTACCTGAGCCTCGAGCGCTGGCAGAGCCATCGCATCCTGGACCGCCTCCCTGGAGCCCCGCGTCGTGACGCCGGCGGACGTAGGCAGCACATCTGGATCAGGGCTCTACGGCACTGGCATCTGCAGAAGATGTCCAACGGCCTGCGAGGGGCGCTGGCCAAGCTGCAGTCGCACGGCATGTGGACCCCAGCTCGGAGGCAGGGGGCAGGATACAGAGACGACGCGGCGTGTGAGTTTTGCGGACACGCCCCAGCGGACCCTGAGCACGAGCTGTTCTACTGCTCAGTGCACGAGGCGCAGGAGGATGAGGAGCACAGCCCTTGCCCCGACGACGTCCTGCAAGTGAGGAAGGGCATCTGGCAGCAGGGCCAGACGGGCGTGGGCCTGGAGTGGGACTTCTCGTCGGTCGACCTGCTCTACGCCCTGCCCATGAGGCCGCTGTTTCGGCCGCCTGAGCCCAGCCTTTTGTTTGTAAAAGAATGGGGTGCCCGTGCGGCACCATGGCCTTCCAAGCTGTACGGAGACGGGTCGTGTTTTGACAGTGATTTCCCCGAGGCCCGTCGGTGTGGATGGGCCGTCGTGGCCATCACTCCGAGTTTCGTGCCGCACAAAGCCGTGTTCGGAGGCCTCGGAGGCCCCATCCAAACGGTTCCCAGGGCCCAGCGTTTCGCTGCGCTCCGAGGCCTCGAATTGGCGACCAGGCCGTCCGAATTCGTCACCGATCACCTGGCGCTGGCGCAAGAGGGGGCCCAGTGGTTTGGCAGGCATGCTCGGCCTACGGCCCCCCACGCGAGTGTTTGGCGTCAGTTGCACCAGCTGTATTAATATGATTTGGAGCGCCTCCCCCGTTTTTCCTGGACTCGTGCTCACAGGTCCGTGGAAGAAGGCATTGCGTCGTGCTTGTCCTCGGGGGGGCCTCTGGATAATTTTTCCAGTAACATGTGGGCTGATCTCTTCGCGAAGATGGCCGCGCTTGACTTGGCGGGGTCGTCCTCAGTGCTCCGTGGTTTTAAGTTTGAGCTGGAACAGGCGAAGCAGCGGATGCGATGTCTGGCCTTCGCGGCCGAGCGGGTGGCGAAACTAGCGTCTCCCGTCGCCCATCGACCGCTGCCGCCTGCTCCTCGAAGGCGCCGAGAGCGCAAGGCGACCACCCACGCCTTCTGTCTGTTCCCTGAGGGCGCGGTCGGCTGTCGGCAGTGCTGGCGACAGGCCACGACCCCCTCGTCACTCAATTCCCTCGCGCCCCGTGCGTGCGACCCCCAGCAGTTCGGCCCAGGGCATCTAGTCCAGGAGCTCGACCGTGTGCTGATCTGTGCCAATTGTGGCGCGCGCAGCGCGGCCCAACCGGCTCTCGATCGGCCTCGCCCGTGCCTGTCTGCCTCGTCGAGAGAGGGGCGGCGGTGGAGCTGGGGTGGGCGGGGCGCGGGGGGAGAGGGTTCAGAGAATGCTGCAGCAGGCCCAGCGAGGGCGCCACCCCAAGACGGGAGAGGCGCTAGGCCCGCTGATGCTGGCCCCGATTGCCCACGAGGCCGCCGCGCAGTCTCTTCAGGTCGTGGGGGCGGGGGTGGCGGACGGGGTGGTCGGGGTCGTTCGCGGAGTCGAGGAGGAGGAGGGTCGGGGCCCAGAGCCGTGAGCCTGTACAGCGGCGCCGAGCGGGCCAGCGCCCGTGGCTCCCCACCCCCCCTCGGCTGCCGCGCCGCCATTTCAGCCCGAGTCAGGGGACTCGGACTAGCGGCGGCCCTTCCTCTCGGGTGCGTGGCCGCGCCCGTTTCTCGTTCCGAGGCCCAGTCGGGATCCCCTTCTGCGCCTTCGGCCATAGCGCCATAGCTCCTCCTCCTCCTCATCCTCATCCTCCCGTCCTTTTTCTCATCATCTTCCTCCTCCTCCTCCTCCTTTTCCTCCTTCTCCCCCTCCCCCTCAGCAGCAGCAACAGCAACTCCCGCGGGAGAGGCACATGGCGCTGGCAGCCCATGTGGGGCGCCGGCGCCGTGGCCGGGCGACCTGGGCGTGGGCGGGTCGAGGGGGATGCATGGGGCCGGAGTCGGACACATCGAGCCGTCCGGAGGTCTTGTGATAGGTTTTTGGTTCGTGGTTCTGCCGATCGGCGCGTGCCCTCGCACTGCCCTCGCCCTTCCACCCCCCGCTCCATGGAGTGGCTCTTGGCTGTTGTGGGCGCCTGGCTGGTTCAGGCAGGCGGGGTCTCCCCATCCATGGGGCGCACTGTTGCAAGCAGTCGCACGAAGCAGAGGTCCAGAGCCAGACCCCCCCCCCTGCTGCCCAGTGTCGAGATGCCGAAGAAGAGCACGTCTTTGCCTTGCAAAGCCAGGCAGACGTCGTCGTTGCTGTCCGTTCTCTGGTGCCGCCCCACGCAGGCCTCGATGTTGTCCCGCGGCGCGGTCTACCAGCCGACAGGCAAGCGCTGGGAGGCTCCACGCTCTCGCTTCATCTGACGGCTCGCTTCGTACAGTCGGGGCGCTGAAGAAGGAACCCTTCTCGTTGGGGAGGGGCTCGGTGTTCCTTGATTGTTTAACTGTTTGTCTCCGGTTTTCCTAAGATTCTCCATGGGAAATCGACGTTTAACTTATGGGAAAAAAGGGCCTCGTTCCTCATTTAGGGTTCCTTAGGGCAACGCCCCGATTGTATTGCTGGGGGTGCTCCTTCGTTGTTGACTGCGACGCGTGTGGCATCCTGTGAGTGTTCCCACGCGCTGCTCATAACAGTAGGTTCTTACCTCGGCGCTGCCACTGCTTTGCGCACTGGCACCTTTCACAGCAGTTCGGGCGGAGCAACGAGCTTCAAGCACGTCATGACCTCTACGCGCGATGGCACATGTAGCAAGGCCGCATTCGGGCAGGAGGAAGAGGGAGAGGAGAGGAGGACGAGAGGCTGAGCAGACTATATAGAGAGGGCGGAGAGGGCGATGGGGGAGGTGGCGAAAGGAGAGGGGATAATGAGGAGGGCGAGGGAGTAGTATCTTGGCGAACCTCTAGAGGCGATCCTCCTGCGTCTCCGATTCTCGATCCTCTCGGCTACGATCTCCTCTGGTCCTGCTCCTCCTCCTCGGCCCTTCCCGATCCTCGATCCTCGATCCTCGGTCGTTCTCCACCCCCGATTCTGGATCCCACCCTCTTCGCTCTTCGACCTGTTTCCGTCAGGCTTGGGGAGCTCCATGGATGCCTTGCGAGCCTGCCCCCCCCCCGTTGGCTCCGCTGTCCTTGGCCTCCAGGGGAGAGGTGCGCGAGTCGGGAGATAAGAGGGCGTGCAGGAGACGGAGGAAGGAGAAGAGCAGGAGGACGAGGAGCAGGAGGAGGGCGAGGAGTCGAGGAAGAGGGGTAGGGCAAATATGATGAGGAGGAGGAGGGGGAATTGAGGAGGAAGGGGACGAGGAAGAAGGGGACGGGGATGGATGAGGGAAGACGAGGAGTAAGGTGAACAAGGGGGAGGATTGAGAGCGGAGGAGGAGGAGGAGGAGGAAGAGGAGGAGGAAGATGAGGACGTGTCCTTACCGCCCTTGGGGGCCGCGTGTGTGTGTGTGTGTGTGTGTGTGTGTGTGTTCAGATTCGATACAATTTCGAGCGACTATCGATGTCATTGCTTCCCCCCAGTAGCCGACCTACTACTCCTCGACCCGTCTCTTCACATGCTGCTATTCGTGTGTTTTGTTAGGGTCATCTCGACGGGAGCCTTTGTGATACACGCTTTCTGGAGACGATCAACCTAGCATATGGTTTGTTTCGATTAAGGTCGTTTCACCCTTCCCCAGACAGCCGAAGACAGAAGGCGCTTAACATACAGAGAGCGCAGACCATTAACCACCCACCCGCTTAGCGCAATCATTTTCCATCCCCTTCGTATGAGTGTGAATCAGCGCATCTCGAGGCCGGCGATGTCAGTGCAAGCAGGCTCCCACGAAGGATGCCAGCGTAGATGTGGAGGAGGGCCCATGGTTCTCCTGCTCTGGGCTTGGCCCAGGCTGTCTCTGCTGCCTGCAGGAGACACGCGGATGGCCCGCGGACCTGGGCCAAGCCAAGGTGGAGGAAGGGAGGGAATGGGGAAGGGAGAGGATGTGAAGCGAGGGGAGGAGGCGGAGCAGGGACGAGGTGGCGGCGGCGGAGGAGGAGGCATAGAAGGAGGAAGAGCAGCAGCAGTATGTGGAACGGAGGAGGCGGAGGAGGCGGAGGAAGAGGTGCAGACGCCACGCGCGTTGCTTTGCAAGGCCGGGTCCTGGCAAAAGGAAGAAAAGGAGGACACGAGGAGGAGGAAAACGCTGGATGGTGGCAACTGGCGCCGTAAAGTACTGAGGTCTGAGTTGTGGAGGTACGTTGGCACCCCTCCCTACGGCCGTCTTCGTTGGCCGAGGGGCCGTAGGGAGGGCCTCGGCCCCCTCCATTGGCAACTGACGCCGTAATGCATTGGTGCATGTGTGGGAGATGGCGACCCAAGCGGCCCCGATGATGGCAGCCGCATAGGGTGTGAGGCCTATGATGGTTCTCATTGGTGAGGCCTATGATGGTTATCACCGGGGTGGGGTGGGGAAGAGGGCAGGAAGGTCGAAGCGGATGTCCGACATCAACGTCTTGTGGGGAGACCAGGACCTGATAGGGCACGTCAAAGCAAACAACGAACATACAAAGATTTTGTACATACGATGGTGTGCCCCACGCACCAGACAGTACGGCACGGGTGGGAGCCAGCATGTTCCGGCAGGGCTCTGCCAGAACGTGCTGCGCACATTGCCGAAAAAAACAAGGTCAAGGCCCGTCCAGACCGTTGCACTACAAGGTCGACGCGGAAGATGGGGAGACGTTTGCTGGTGATCTGAGCTGTTCTATCAGCTCGAGCAATGGTGATTTTCACCGGGAAACCGAAGTCCGAATTCTGGCAGGGGCTGGTACGGGGCGTGAAAACGACCACAGCCACTGCTTTTCTTTTGTTACCGCCTTCGAGCCCGCAGAAACAAGGCAGTGGTTGTGGTCATTTTAGTCGAGCTTGGCGCCAGGGAAATGACCACAACCACTGCTTCTTTTTCGGCCGGCTGGAAGGCGACGCAAACAAGAAGCAGTGGCTGTGGTCATTTTCCCGTCCCGCAGGTGGGGGCACGATGTCTCTCAGGAGGGCAAAAAACACACACAGACACAATTAATCGTCGACTCCCAGGAAAATATGGGAAAATATGGGGATTGGCGGGGAAGACAAAAACCCAGAAAATATGGGAAAATATGGGGAATCTTTTTATTCGTGTGTATTTATTTGTGTATCCTGGGGCCCCTTCAGTCTCCGCCCGCCGCCCCTGCGAGGCAGAGGCCTCCGGACCGCTGCTGACTACTGTTGCTGCCGATGCCGAGCCGCCGCCCCCCCCGTGCCCCACGAGGGGGAGCCTCCCGAAGGAGGGAGGGCACAGTCGATCAGAGCCCCGAATCATCAGAGGTAATTCGGGTCAGGGCTAACTCGGGTTCGCTTTTCGGGATTCCGAACCCGAGATACCCCGGGGCCGAGTTACCCCGGATAACTCGGGCGCCAGAGCCCCAAATCATCAGGGGTAACTCGGGTCAGGGCTAACTCGGGTTCCTTTTTCGGGAATCCGAACCCGAGTTACCCCGGACCCGAGTTACCCTGGATAACTCGGGCGCCCAACTTACATCCTTGCCTCCTCGGTCCATCCTTCGCCGCTGTCGGTGGCCGCGCCCCGCTCGGAAAGCTTGGGCATGGGCGTCCAGGGCCCCTGCATCCTTGCAGTCGTGGCCCTGAAGAAGGAACCCTTTTCGTTGGGGAGGGGCTCCGTGTTCCTGAAGTGTTTCGCAGCTTGCCTCAGGTTTTCCTGATGTTTTCGATCGGAAGTCGAAGTTTAACTTTGGGAAAAAAAGGGGCCTCGTTCCTTATTTAGGGCTCCTCAGGTCAACGCCCCGACTGTATCGCGCATCCTTGCTATGCTGGTTGGCTGTGGAGGGGCAAGTGCTGCCCGAGGGGGGCAGAGCGTCGGGCAGCCCTGCTCGCCGGGAGGTCGGGTCATCAAAGTTCCGCCGACGGTGTTCCCCCCCCGGCCTGGGAAGCCGAGGGTGGGCTGGCACAGCCAACATCAGAGGACCCCACCCCCCCAAAAGACACACACCCGACGGAACGGTAAGACATATATATATATATATGTTTCCGATGAGAGATTTTTCATGTAAAGGTGTATTTGGGCGTTTGCCGAAGCCTGTGGTTCATATTGGCTGGACGCTCACCTCCCTCACGACAGGTCGGTGCAGGCCTCGCGTACCCATGTGGATGTCCCCGGGGTGCTGCAGCGTCTGTGCGTCGCCCATCTCTTGATCATTGGGATGGGGAGGAGGAGGGGGAGGAGGAGGAGGAGGAGGAGGAGGAGGAGGGAGGAGGAGGAGGAGGAGGAGGAAGAGGAGGAGAGGAGGAGGAGGAGGAGGAGGAGGAGGAGGAGGAGGAGGGGGAGGAAGAGGAAGGAGGAGGAGGAGGAGGAGGAGGAGGAGGAGGAGGATGAGGAGGCAGACCAGGAGCGGAAGCAGGAGCAGGAGCTGCAGGGAGGGGGGGGGGGGGGAGAAAGGCAGGAAGCGCGCCGGAGGGAGCGGCGGGGGCGCCGCAAGCGCTCCGAGGCCGCGAGGGGCGACCCCGGGGGGGCGGCGGCGGCGAGGGCGCCGCCGCGATGGGCCCCCGGGGCCCGCGCGGCCTCCAGCGGCCCGCCGGCGCGGAGGCCCCGCGGCGCGCGCGGAGGCGGCGGTGGGCCGCCGCGGCGGCGGCGGCGCTGCTGGCGGCCTGGGCGGGCGCGCGCGGGAGAGGCCGGGGCCCAGGGTGCTTCGCGCTGCAGGAGTCGGCGACGCGTGAGAGTGGCCCCGTGACGAACAGGACGACGACGACGACGACGACGACGACGACGAAAACGAAAACGACGACGACGACGAAAACGACGACGACGACGAAAGAGACGACGACGACGAAAACGACGACGATGACGACGACGACGACGATGACCTTTTGGTGCGGGCCCACAGGGATCACCCCAGCACTGCAGGAGTCGGCGACTGCATGGTTCACTGCGCAGTGGTGTGGGTTTGTGATCTGCGCCGGGGTGGCGTCGGCCGGGCGCCACCGCGCGACCCTCGTGGGGCACCGTCGGGGCGCGGCGGAGAGCTCTGCCGAGGTTCGCCCGCCCCCTCCCCCCCCAGTGTGCGGGCTGCGAACCGCGCCCTTTTTTCAGAGCGTGAACTACCTACCCCGCTTTCGCTTCCAGGCAAAACCAAGCCATACCACGCGCCTCCTCGTCCAGCGGCCTGACCAATACAGGCTGCAATTTGGCATCGTTTGGTACCTCTTGGAAGCGAGGGTGGTCAAAAGCGAGGTAGGTTTGGTTTCCCCCTCCCCCCCCAGTGTGCGGGCTGCGAACCACGCCGCGTTTTTGCAAACAAAAGACAAACCTTCGGAGCCGCCGCAGGAGGGCGGGGGCGCCGCCGCGGCGGAGGGCCCGCAGAGGTGCGCGGCGGAGGGCGCCTGACACCCATAACCAGACTTGCAAGGCATTGAAGTATTCCAGCGGCCTTCCCTTCTCCTCCGCGTCCCCCCCCCCCTCCTCCTCCTCCTCCTCCTCCTCCTCCTCCTCCTCCTCCTCCTCCTTCTCCTCCTCCTCCTCCTCCTCCTCCTCCTCCTCCTCCTCCCCTTCCTGCCTCTGTCCCTGCGCCCTCGCCCCACCCACCAGACCGCCAAGCTGGGAAGGCTCCTCCACCTCCCCTCCCCCGCACCCCCTGGGGGGCTCTGGGGGCCCTCTCCCGACCCCAGGACTGCCAAGACACCGCTCGGGAGGACGAGCCGGTCCCGGGGAAGGGGGTCGGGACTTCCGCAAAACCTGTGTTGGACAACATACAGTGGTGGCCCATGCTAAGAAACACCTTGCGTTTCTCGGGTTTCGATGGTTTTGCGATGGGGAGCGTGACGTTCCCACACCAAACATCAACGGACGCCCTGGGATCTCGGGGTTGGGCCTCCCTCTCGCGGAAGGTTTCCTGTGGTCTGGCCTCCAGCTGAAGGTGCCTCGGGTCTCGCTCTGGGATGATGCCCGCCGGCGTGCCCGGCCGAGAGGCCCTCCCGCGCCCTGCCCGGACGATCGCGCAGGTCCTCCCGGCCTCGGCCGCGGGGGCGCGTGCACGAAGGCAGGGCCCAGGGTGGGCCCCCCCCGGCCAGGCGCGGAGGTGCGGCGCATACGGTCGAGCACCTGCATCGGCACGGAGGAGCTGGGTACGGATATAGACGCTCTCTCGGACGTCGTCTGCAGAGGCTTCCCGGACGCTCTCTCGGAGCGTTCTGGAGCGCACGGAGGAGGCTGCCGCGCCCGATACACTCGGGGGCGGACAGAGCCCCCAACAGTGACGCGTCGATCAGTGAATTGTCCGTTTTCGGTTCTCGAGAGGGCGCCGCGGCCGTGATTTTCCAGGCTTGCGCCCGCCAGGTTTGGGCCTCAGGTCGTTTTCACTAAACCACGTTTTACTAAAGGGAGGTCTGTCCATCCCCGATACACCTCCTCCAGAGGGGGCCGGATCTCAGAGACGTTCGACTTATCCTCACACCCGGTTTTTATCTTCGGCCCGGCTTCGTCGCACAGCGCCCCCAGACTCTGCACGAACGAAGTTGGTACAGAAAGAATGGGTACAATGCCCAACAGCAGTTCCTGTTCATTCTGAACAGGACTCGCTGTCCGCGCCGCCGCGGCCTGTGTCCATTTGAGACAGGAGGCCGCCTGCCCAACAGCGGCTGCTGTTGGTTTTGGACATCATTTGTTGTTGGGCATTGTACCCATTTTTTCTGTACCCATCTCGGGCGTCCAACTATATGATTAGGAAACCTCCTCCCGAAAGGTTGGGCCAGCGCCACTTAGCCCACCTGCCGGCACGCAAGCCCAGCTTCTCGAGCACGTGCGCCCTTCCAGCAGGAACGGCAGAGTTTGGCCGGGGCTCGTTCTCTGAAACTTGTAGGAAGCCGGCCCAGAACCCTAACATCATGATCCTCGTGAGCGCAGTTCCGGCTGCAGCAGGCGACCTCCGCCCGAGCGAGGGAGCGCGAGCTGCTCCCGGCGCACGCGATCCCCAGGCGGTACGAGCTGGCCCTGGAGCTGGATCCCGAGGGAGCGGCGGCCGCCTTCTCTGGCCGCCTGGCCGTGGAGCTCGCCGTCGTGGACCCGGGCAGCAAGCTCCTCACCCTGCACGCCCGGAGCCTGTCCATCGCGCTGGGCTCCGTCCGGTATCGGGAGGAGGGGCAGGACTTCTAGGGGGCCACGTGCGAACCCTACTCCTAATTACCCCCTACGATTTCTGAGGGGGAGGGTGGGGGATTCACTTCGCTCGGGAGCTCCCGAGCGAAGTGAACCCCACCCTCCCCCTCAGAAATCGCGGGGGGTAGGGGTAGGGTTCGCATGTGGCCCCCCAAACTTCGGCATGCGCGCGCAGAGGATGTGGCTGAACGAGACCGCGCAGACGGTGACGTTTGCCTTCCCAGCGGCGCTGCCGCTCGGTCATGGCGTGCTCTCCCTGTCGTACGGCGGCGTCCTGGGCGAAGACATGGCCGGGCTGTACCGCAGCTGGTACACGGGGGTGACTGGGAGCCGCCAGGCGATGGCGCTGACGCAGCTGGAGGCCGTAGAAGCCAGGCGTGTGCTGCCCTGCTGGGACGAGCCCAGTCGGAAGGCCGTCTTCGCGCTCACGCTCAGCTTCCCGGCCCACCTGACCGCGCTGTCCAACATGCCCGTGGCCTCGGAGGAGACGCTGGCGGACGGCAGGAAGGTGGTGTCCTTCCTGGACTCGCCGGTGATGTCCTCGTACTTGCTCGCGATGGCGGTGGGCAGATTCGACGCGGTGCAGAGGGCGACAAAGGGTGGAGTGCTGGTAAGGGTGCTCACCACTCCTGGGCAGCAGGCGACGGGGATGTTCGCGCTCGAGGTGGCGGTTCGGGCACTGGATTTCTATGGCGAGTATTTCGGCGTGCCTTACCCCCTGCCCAAGCTGGACATGCTGGCAGCCCCCGACTTCGCAGCGGGTGCCATGGAGAACTGGGGCCTCGTCATTTACCGCGAGGTGGACCTGCTTTGCGACGTCAGCTCCGTGGGAGTGTCTCGAAAAATGCGCATTGCAACCGTCGTGACCCACGAGCTCGCGCACATGTGGTTCGGTAACCTTGTTACTATGGAGTGGTGGGATCAGCTGTGGCTGAACGAGGGCTTCGCAAACTGGATGCAGACGCACGCCGCGGATGTGCTCTTTCCAGAGTGGAGCATCTGGGACCAGTACATTGTCCAGGAACAGAGCCAGGCGCTGGGACTTGACGCGCTCCGCAACTCCCACCCCATCGAGGTGCCGATCTACAGGGCGCAGGAGGTGGACGAGGTGTTCGACCTGATCTCGTACGCCAAGGGCGGATCCGTGGTCCGCATGGTGCACGGGTTCCTGGGCCACGACCTCTTCAGGGCCGGGCTGGTGCTGTACATGCGCAGGCACGCCTACGGCAACACGGACTCGGCCGACCTGTGGTCGTGCTGGGAGGAAGTGTCGGACCAGCCCGTCCGCGCCATGATGCAGTCGTGGACACTGCAGCAGGGCTTCCCCCTGCTCACCGTCGGCGAGTCTGGGTCCTTGCGTGGCCAGCTGTCCGTGCGGCAGCGGTGGTTCCTCGCGGACGGCAGCGAGCTCCCGGGGGACGACGAGAAGGTGTGGCAGGTACCGCTGCTCCCCGGAGGCGCGAGCGGGCTGTGGGCGCCGTCTGGGCAGCTGCTGGGCCGCGGCGAGGGGTCGCTGGCGCTGCCTCGAGGCAGCTCTGGCTGGCTGAAGCTCAACTTCGGGCAGGTGGCGCCGTACAGGGTGCTGTACGCCACGCCCGCGCTGCGCGACTCGCTGGTCTCCGCCCTCCAGCGCGGCGAGGTGGGCGTGGCGGACCGGATCGGCCTGCTGCTCGACAGCGCGGCGCTGGCGAGGGCGGGGAAGCTGCCGGCCGTGGAGGTGCTGCGCCTGCTGGCCGGGCTGCGGGGCGAGGCGAGCGCGCACGTTTGGGAGGCCATCGCCCGCGTGCTGAACTCCCTGCACCGGGCCTTGTCGTACGTCGGGCTCAGCGGCGGGGGAGGAGTCAAGCATCGGCGAAGCGTCCTGGCTCGCCTATAGCCCTACCAAACAATGTTAGAAGAACCTTTTGTGGTTTCCACGAACTGTTCTTAGAGCATTTTTTTTTTTTTTTTTTTTTTTTTTTTTTTTTTTTTAAAAAAAAAAAGAACACACACACACATCGGGTTTATGTTCTAAGCACATTGTTTTTGTTCTTGGAACATCTTTGGGTTCTACAAGAACACTTCGCGCTAGGACTTATAGGAATGCCGGGACGGTCGGTCCCCGCTCACAGGAGGGCCCGAGCTTGTGGAGCTGTTCGAGGCCGCCGTCGCGGGCGCGCTGATCCGCCCGGCGCTGGAGAGCTTCGGCTGGTCGCCGGGCGACGGCGAGGGGGACCTGCTGCGGCAGCGGCGCGCGCTGGTGGTGGCGCTGGCGGCCCGCTTCATGGGCTCTTTCGATGCTCGTTTTGGGGACCTTCCTGGGGCCCACCTCTAATGGATCTGTTCGACTCAGGTTCGACTCAAGTTCGACTCAGGTTCGACACAGATTCGACTCAGCTTCGACTCAGGTTCTACTCAGGTTCGACGCAGCTTCGACGCACAAGAGGAGCGAGTGGCTCCAGGAAGGTCCCCAGAATGAGCATCTAAGGCTCGGACGCTGGGGTGGTCGGCGAGGCGCGGGCCCGCTTCGACGCGTGGCTCGCGTCGCCGCTCGCCGGCGGCGACGGCCACCTGCCCGACGACCTGAAGGGCAGCGTCTTCAGGATTTTTGGGGGCCAAGCTCGGGAGCTGGAGCATGCATGCGTTACCATGGTGGCGGGCTGCCTCTCCATCCCAGGACTCTGTGAGGGCGACGTCGGGGTGGTGTGGGGCATACTTGCTCCTCCTTGTGCCAGGAAGTCGGCGGAAGATGTATACACCTGGATCCCGTTTACACCAAAATCTGGATCCCTGTATACACCTGGATCCCTGTATACACCTGGAGCAGGTATACGTTACCGGTGGCGGGCTGCCTCTCCATCCCAGGACTTTGTGAGGGCGACGTCGGGGTGGTGTGGGGCATACGTGCTCCTCCTCGTGCCAGGAAGTCAGCGGAAAATGTATACACCTGGATCCCGTTTACACCATGATCTGCTTTCCTGTGTGGATTTTCGTGCCGGGCCCGGGAAAGCGTCGGCGTAGAGAGTTTCGGCTTCTTGCAAGCAAGGGCATGAACAGAAACTGTCGGAGGTCGCGCGGATTTCTCGGATCGGCGATGGAGCCCCCCTTCAGGGCGGCGCCTCTGGCGCCGCCCCTGGTCCGCGCGCCAGGGAAGGGGGCCCAGCGCCGATCCGAGAAATCCGCGCGGGCCCCTGGAAGCTCCATGTGAGCGATGTGAAGGAGCAGGATCGTCTGCGCCGACATTGGCGCGCAAGTTGCCCGCTCAGGGTCGCGCGTAAGCAACCTCGTCTCCAAGGTGACGTGCCACGCCGGCGGCCCGCGCAAGCCGCGCCGTAAGGTCGCTATGCCATCTTGGGTAAAACCAGTTTTTGATCGTCGCTCATGTTGATGTGCTCCCGTTGACCCAAAAGGGGGTCCAGCGATAAGGGGGTGGTGAAATAGATTTGTGGGGTTGCAATACGTATGGGGCGTGCAGTACATTCTGGGGCGCAAGTGTATTGCTGGATTATTCTCGCGTGCCATACGTTCGTTGCAATGCAGTGCAGTACAGTTCTCCGGCGCAGTACATTTGCAAGACAATTGCCCCAAATCTATTGCACCACCCCCTTGCAGCTGGACCCCCTGTTGGGCCACCCAGATGTCATCGCCTGTGACGCCAAGGGTAGTGTTAAGTCGGGCCTGACCCTCTACAGGGGGAATATTCAAAAATAGTATGTTTGACCATTTTGGGTGTATTTTTGGGGGTACTTTTTATTTTTCGTCGAAGTTCCACCTGTGGGGGGACACGCCCGACTTAAGGATAGTGCTCGCGGGCGCTCAGGGCGAGCGCGAGTACCGGGCGCTGCGCCGCGAGGCGGCCCGGGCGAAGACGCGGCAGGCGGTGCGCCTGAGCGTGTACCAGGCGCTGGGCGCGCACGAAGGTCGGCACCGTTTCACCGATCCCTATTCTTAAGTCGGGCCCGTCCCTCTACAGGAGGAATAACCAAAAATGGTAAAAAAATAGTCTGGGGATTATTGTTGTGTACTTTCTCAACCATTTCGGAGCATTTGTGGAGTATTTTGCAATTTTTCGTCGAAAATCCCCCTGTAGGGGGACACGCCCGACTTAACCCTATCCCTATCCCCATCCCCTTCGAGACCCCCACCAAATTACCACCCCAGTTGGGGATACACCCCTCGAAACCCGGAGGGAACGGCCTATATCCCCATCCAGGGGGAGTAAACCGGCCAGGGGGGCCCAGGACACGCCGCTGGGGACTGGGATCTGTGCAACGATATTCATAAGGGCTGCAGGACGAGACGCTGGCCATGGCCCTCAACGGTGCCGTCCGCCTCCAGGATGTCATGTACCCGCTGGTCGGCGTCGTGCAGTCGGGCCCGGGCGGCGCCCGCCGGGCTTGGAGCTGGTTCTTCGGCGGCGCCCCGAATCGGGACGACCGGAAGGGGCACAGAAGGAGCGGGTGCAAAGGCCGACAGCAGCGCCTGCTCCTTCTGAGCAGGGCTCTCCGCGGGTGTCGCCGTGGGCGCCTGCCCGGCAGCGGCCGTGGCTGGTTTCGGGCAGCATTTGCTGTTGGGCACGGTGCGCATTTGTTCCTTACCCTTGGCATCGCTCGGACGTGTGCATTTTTCCTTCGGCGAGGACCATCGAGGTGCATCCTTGATCGTATGGCGAAAAAACCACGCGCCAAACCGAAAACAAAACAGGGAAGGGACGTCCGAGCGATGGCGAGTACCCATCTTGGGCGTCCAAGCCAACAGTGGCGGCGCGAGGGGGGCGGCCGTCCGAGAAGGCGGATAAGGGGCGTCTGCAAAGGCAGGGGCCTGCTTTGGAGGCCCCTGGCGGCTCGCAGGGAGCTGGAGGGGCATGGCGGCCTCTGAGAAGCCCTCCGCCTGCTCCGAAGGCCCCCCCCCCCCTCGCCGCGCCACCCTCCTCTGGTCGCCGCCAAGGTCTCGAAGAGGAGACGGGGGCATGAACATACACTGTCGGAGGTCCCCCTTGCAGATTTCGTGGCACGGCGCTGGACCCCCAGCCGGGATTTCCAATGCGCCTGTCCCAGAAGTCCGCGCGGGCCTCAGGAAGCTCTTGTGCACGGCGGTGCCTGTTTTCCCCTCGAGGTTCGTGGAGCAGCACGCCGCCCTCGTGCGCCGCACCCGGGGCGCCAACGTCCGCATCTTTGGGGCCGTGGTGGACTTGGCCGCCGGGTCCGTGCCAGAGGCGGCCCGCGCTGGCGAGGTGGAGGCCTTCTTCGAGCGGCACCCCGCCCCGGGCCTCGAGCGGAGCGTGGCGCAGCTGGTGGAGTCCGTCCGCAACGAGGCCCAGTTCGTCGCCGCGCTGGGGGCGGAGGCGGAGGGCGGGGAGCTCGTGGCCGCCCTGCGGGCCATGAGCGGGTGACGACGGCGCGGCGGCGGCGCCGGCGGCCTTCGCAAAATTACGGCGTGCACTGCAGGGCGGCGCCAGGGAGCATGCAGAGCAGGGCAGTTCGGAGGGGGTGTCCATGGTCGTCCGCACGACCTGTGCCGCGTCCGAGGGGGATTTTGTGCATTCGTGGTTGGACTCTGCACGACGGCTTGCCTTGGTACGTTTGCTTTGTTTTTACGCAGTGGCAGAAGAGATTACAAATTTGGGTGTCGAGTTGCTCTGACCAGGCTGGATACAGATGCCCGTCCCTCCGCTCCGTTTCTGCCTCCCGCCTCCTCCCATTCTCTCCTCGTGCCCCCTCCCCTCCCTCCCCGCATCACCCTCCCCACCCTCCCGCCTTCTCCATGATATAGTCGGGAGCTGCTGGTTCGCGTGCCGCTCCGCAGGTTCTGGCCCACCTCGCTGCGGCGCGGCACGCTGTCCGCGCTCTGGCCTCTGGGCGTCGACGTCCCGGGCCCGGCGAGCCCTCCCGGCCCTGCGGAGCGGAGCGGCGCGCCATCCGCTTGCAGGGCATGTCGTGTCGGGGCCGCCGCGACGAGACACTGGGCAACCGTTCCCGACCATACAGTCGGGGCCCTGAAGAAGGAACCCTTTTGGTTGGGGAGGGGCTCCGCGTTCCTTAAGTGATTCACAGCTTGCCTCAGGTTTTCCTCATGTCTTCGATCGGAGATCGACGTTCAACTTATGGAAAGGAGGGGCCTCGTTCCTTATTTAGGGTTCCTTAGGTCAACGCCCCGACGGTACCCCCTGCGGCCTACTCCACCCCTCCCCTTCCGCCCCAGTTGGCGCCGTGGCATTGCGGGCTTCGCTCGCGCATCAGTCATGGCCTGAAGGCCATCTCCTCGCCCCGCGTCCTTGGACCGCTCGACTGCTTGGAGAGCCTCGGAGTGGCCCGAGCACTGGGTTGGCATTCAACTCCTTGCTCTACCAGGAGGCTGGATACATGGTGCGGCCGGCGTGGGCGAGAGCTGGATACTCATGCCGCCAGATGTATTTCCAGCGCTCAGCCCTCTTTTTGCCGTGCAGGCTGGGCCTCCGCAGGTGTATCCAGCAAGTGGCCTCTGTATGTTCCACGTGTGAGTCCAGCCATTTCTGATTCCAGCCTCATGATGCCCACACTCAGGTAGTGCGGAAGTCCATGCGGAGGGTTGCATGTAACGGTGCAGAGGGACGGAGAGAGCGACGTGGAATAATGCCGACGCAGTCGATTGTTGCACGGACGAGCGGCGTTTCAATGGTTGCTGGTTGATGGTGGGGCGGCCACAACGGCATCAGCAATATTGACTAGGGCGCGCGGGTGCGCTAGCCCAACTTTGGGAGGGTGAGCGCCTCCTCCCTCACTCTTGGTTTTCCAGCCTGCTGGCATGAGATTCGATCGGAAAAACGGCCCTCAGCACATGCAGGACAACGGCGAGTGGGTGCCATACAGCGCGCGCCCTAGAGCTTTGTCAGTGGCACGGGGAAGGTGCTGGGGCCGGAGCAGAGGTGTCTCGCGAGCCTGATGCCCGGACGCCCTCTGCAACGAAGTGATGGGCGAGCTGCCGTCAGAAGCCAAGCTGGGAAGAACTGGTAAGATAGAGACGGCGGGTGCCTCTGCCTCCTCTCACCGAGCGCGTTCCACTACTCGCAACATGCCTACTCGCCAACGTCCTGATCAGCATGCCTTCCTCGGTGCAACGTATCCTGACTGCCCCGTAACGGATCTGTTCGACCCCAGTTCGATTCAAGTTCGACTCAAGTTCGACTCAAGTTCGACTCAGGTTCGACTCAGGTTCGACTCAGGGTCGACCCAAATCGACTGACGTTCGACGCAGCTTCGACGCACGAGTGGAGCGAGTGGCTCCAGGAAGGTCCCCAGAACGAGCATCCAACTGTCAGGGCTGATGCCCCCGACGGTGGTACTGTCGAAGGGCGCCGCCAACGAGGTTCTAAGGTGAAGTCTGGCCTGTCCCTCTGCAGGGGGAAATACTCAAAAGTAGTAAAAAAATAGTATGGGGACTATTTTTGGAACATTTTTCGACCATTTGGGAGTATTTTTTGGGGGGCTTTTTATTTTTCGGCGAAAATCCCCTTGTAGGGGGACACGCCCGACTAAATTCTAGGCCTCCCAGATGGGGTCGGAGTAGATGGGGCCGGAGGGTCGCGCCGTATCGCCGATGCAACGGTGGTGCGGCTCGATGTGGAGCCCGAATATCTCCACGCCGATGGCGCAGATGCATCGCCGATGTCGACCGGGCATCGCCGATGCATCGCCGATGCATCGGCGATGCATTGGCGATGCATTGGCGGTCCTCCGACCCAATCTAGGAGCCCTCTATTCTTTTATATATATATATGTATATATACACAAAGGCCCTCTATATATACACAAAGCACCTGCACCGGCCTTTTCCAAGCGGGTCCTCGGGCCAGACAGACTGGGCGTGGCCAGGATCGGCGTGGGCTTGCACACGGCGCCCTCGAGCCATGTTCAACAGCATGGTCTGCAGCTGTTCCGGCGGCTTTCACGTCTACCGTTACATACTTCTATCGAAGAAGGAAACACGCCATAAACATCAGCTTTTGGCGCTCCGCGCGGATTTCTTGGATCCGCGCTAGTGCCCCCTTGGCGCGCTCCGCGCGCCAGGGAGGGGGTTCCAGCCCAGATCCAAGAAATCCGCGCGGACCTCAAACAAATATATGGTATATGCCGTTTTTCTTCCTCAAAGAACGGTCTGCAGCTTTTCCGGCGGCTCTCACGTCTACCATTTCTCACGTCTAGCTGCAGATTTGTTGTCCCCTGGACGCTACCCATCCCTGCCAGGGCCTACAGAGTGACCAGAGGCCTCTTGTGGATGGGCGTGCTTCACACGGCAGACGGGCACGCTTTCGAGAGCAATACCTCTCCGAGGGACCCTGAGCAGCGAAGGTGGGCACCAGCAGCACGGCATGCATCACAGCAGCATACAGTGCCGTTTTTATTCATGCTCCGCGTGCGGATCATGTATTTAAATGCAGGGATGCAGTATTCAAAACAACGATGAGTTCATGCATACGATTATTCATACATTCATCATGAATGAACAATTCTACTTCAAAAAACAAATCCTATGTATTAACAACTGCCCGTGTAACACAACGCGGTGTGGCAAGGCACCACAGCACGGCACCGCGGCACGGCACACGGCTGCAGTCTCCAGGGGAGATCCACAGCGCAGACGTAACATAATACACAACTTCTCCCCGTTCCTCCTCCGTCTTCGACCCATTCCCCTCCTGGATGCCTGTCTGAGGTGTCAACGAGAGCATCCGCATAGAGAAGGCGTTTCTACAGGGGAAACAAACCGTGGACATGGTCATCGGCGCCAAGGATGGGGGGAGAAGCGAGGGGCAGGGAACCGTGGACACGACGCAGAGCCAGCCCAGTTTCGATGCGCCCCTACCGATTCCCGTCTTGGTCCGAGCCCTTTCTGTGTTCCGATCGTTCGATTCCGATCCGATGAGCGGATGCCGATTCCAGTTTCGATACCGCGCACCCGCGTACGCGCCTCTGTCGTGCCTCCTCCTCTGAAAGGGGGAGGCGGGGCAAGGTCGGGCGGCCCCAGGACCGAGATGCATCCATCGGTCCAGAGCCATCTGGAACGCTCTCGGAGAATTCCACAGCGCTCTGGAACGGCCGTCGCGCCCGGTGGGTGAATCCTGAGAATCGCCGGGTCTCCACGTGCTGCTGGGCATCGTGCCCATTTTCCCCGCACCCTCTGCGGGCGTCCAAATTACCATCCCCGCAGGGGCAACGCGCAGCCAGGACCCTGTAGGTAAGGGGAGCCAGTCAGTGCTTCGGCCCCGAAGCGCAAAACATTGGTCCAAATCACTTCAACCAAGGTCTGCCGTAGCCGGCGCTTCTTCGAGCGGCGGCAGTCTCGATCCGTGGAACGGGGCGGGGGGCGTCCCCCGGCACAAGTCACTGGACCAGTTCCCTCTAAACCCAGTCGTGCCAACGCCCGAAGTTGGTCATTGTGCTCGCCTTTCGGCAGCGCTCCTCCTCCTCCTCCTACCCTTCTCCCCTCCTCTTCCTCCTCCCCCTCCTCCTCCCCCCCTCCTTCTTCTCCTCTTTCTCCTCTTCCTCTTGCTCCTCCTCTTCCTCCTCCTCTTTCTCCTCCCCTTCCTTCTCCTCCTCTTTCTCCTCCTCTTCCCCCTCCTCTCCGACGAGGGCCAGCCCGAGGCGCGCTCACCCGGCGGCTTCTGGCAACGTGGCGCGGCCAGTCGGCCAGACCAGGCCGTTTCTAAGGGTATTGCGAGCTCCAGCCATAGTGAACGGCAGAATACAGAATGCCTCGACCCACAGGTGCAGCCCTCCTCGGGCGCGCCAATGCCCTGGTTTATCAGAAGGTCCTCGTCTACGAGGCCTCGAGACGCGCCCAATCAGCTGCGTGCACCCCCCTTCCCTCCCTCTGCCCCTCCTCGTCCTGCCCCTCCTCGTCCTGCCCCTCCGCTTTCTCTTCCTGCCCCTCCTCGCCCTGCCCCGTCCTGCGCCTCCTCCTCCTCTTCCTGCCCCTCCTCCTCCTCTTCCTGCCCCTCCTCCTCCTCTTCCTGCGCCTCCTCGCCCTCCTCCTCCTCCTCCTCCTCCTGCCCCTCCTCTCCCTCCTCCTCCTCGCCCTCCTCCTCGCCCTCCTCCCCCTCCTCGCCCTCCTCGCCCTCCTCCCCCTCCTCGCCCTCCTCCCCCTCCTCGCCGCCCTCGGAGGGGGGCTCCGCCCCCCTCGCTCGGGCCACCGAGGCCCGCTGCCCACCCAGCCGCTCGCCACCTCTCCTCTCCGCCATCGTGGAGTTCGGGGGCGGCAAAGATCAGGAGGGAAAAAACACACACAGACACAATTAATCCTCGATTCCCAGGAAAATATGGGAACATATGGGAATTGGGGGGGAAGACAAAAACCCAGAAAATATGGGAAAATATGGGGACTATTTTTATTTGTGTGTATTTATTTGTGTGTCCT